ATTTAAAAAATAGAAAAGCAAAAAAAAAATAGTAAAAAGTATGAGAGAATTGATAAAAAAAATGATATTTTTTAAAATAAAATAATATTAAATTAAACATGGTCAACAATGATCAACATATTAAATAATTAGTTTTTAAAATAAGATAAATTAATTTATTTATTTATAAAAAACAAAAGAACTAATTTATAATTTACTCACCAAATCGCTACGTAGGTTTAAAGAGAAGTCAAATATACCTTTAGACTGTATATAGGGTATACATCTAAATCGTTGCTTTTAGTTTGTTATCAAAATGTATTATTATATTGGCTAATAATATGACCGACACAATTTTTATTTTTATTTTTTTATCTTGAAAGTGATTGTTATAAAAAAAAAATAGACTGGAGTATTTTAAAATTTCTCTAAAAAATATTATAAGTTCGATACGTTATCTTGAACAGCAAAGGTAAGAGAATTCTATGGTATCAAGCAAGCTTAGAACAATTATATCGATATGCTGAAATCATGGTGCTTCACATGTCCTAATTCACTGTTCCATCCTTGTCTCATTTTTCACAGTAGTCACTATAATGCAGCTCTATAATTCTTGAAGAGACAGCATAAACTTTTGTCGTCTATAATCACGTGTGTACATGTGCAATTAGTAGCTAGACATCAATTATTGATCATTATTGTCATACAGCATTAATAGTTTGATCTTTTCTTATGTTCCTAATGAAGTTAATTTATTTTTATTTATTCGTTAAGTTTTTAATCTATTTTGTAAAAAAATACTTTCATAGTAAATCATCAAAATTCGTCATGTTATTTAAACATGATGATTTTTTATTCTCATAATATCCTTATAAGCTACATACAAAAATAGAAAATTTTTATGTAAAAACCATACGATTAATTTCAATAAAAAAATTATAATAACAGATTAAAAAGTTAACGTATAGTTAAGATTAAAATTAACTCAATTAAAGATATAAAAATATATTTAAAAACTATCGTATTATATAAGAATAAATTTGAACCATCAACCCTTTTGTATATTTTAACTACATTTGAGTAATTTTCTTTCTTGTGGATAAGTACTTATGTCTCATATATATATATATATATATATATATATATGAACACTAAAGAGAAATAAATATATTAGGAAACCTTTTTTTTTTCTTTTTTGTGGGTTTATGAATCTTTTTGCATTTAGTATTCTTGGAAAAATTTCGATGAATATCTAGAATGTTGAGATGTTACATGACTTTGTTAACAGGGTTGTGATGGGTCGATTCTTCTGGAGGACACTTCAAGTTTCAGAGGAGAACAAACTGCAGGTCCAAATAATAAGTCTGTGAGGGGATTCAATGTCGTTGCCAAAATTAAGTCTCAGGTGGAGAAAGTCTGCCCAGGCATAGTTTCATGTGCTGATATCTTAGCCATTGCTGCACGTGACTCCACTGTAATTGTAAGCAATCGATTCTTCCCATTTCCTCTTAACCTGTCAAATTTTAAGAAATGTCATAATCATACAGTAATTAGTTTCGAAAATATATATATATATTTGGTTAAAACATAATATAAATCATATCTGAAGATCTCATCTAAGAGATTAAATTTTTATATGAAATAGTCTTTTAATATGATAGCGAAGTTTTGCTAATCTAATGATTAAAAATTCGAGTCCTACCACGTTCATTTTTTTAATGTGCAAGTTTTAAACTTAAAAAGCTTAGAAGAAGTGTGTTACAGAATAATGTAAATTATATTCTGGATTCTCATCTAACAGTTAATTAGTCAACGGGTATCATGGTTAAGACATATAATATATGTTGTTAATTTCTCGCAGCTTGGAGGTCCAAATTGGAATGTAAAACTTGGAAGGAGGGATTCAAAAACAGCTAGCTTTTCTGCTGCCAATAGTGGGGTCATTCCTCCTCCTACTTCTACTCTTAACAACCTCATCAATCGGTTCAAAGCTAAAGGCCTGTCAACCAAGGACATGGTTGCCTTATCTGGTATAATGCTACCTATTTTTCCTGTTCCAAAAAGATTTATCTGTTCTTTTATTTATATTATTCTCAAAATATATAAATATGACATAATAATTAATAATGTTATTAATCTATATAAAAAAAAATACGATTTTTTCTTTTGAGACAGAGTAACTTTTTTTTTTTTTTAATTACTAACCTATCATTATTTTTCATGACCTATGTGCTTAACTCTAAAGTTGTTCAATTATGGCTGCCAGGATCCCACACAATAGGGCAAGCAAGGTGTACAATTTTCAGGACTCGCATATACAACGAGACCAACATTGACACTTCATTTGCTACCACTAGGAAAAAACCTGCCCACTTCCTACAGGCTCAGGAGACAACAATTTAGCACCTCTGGATGTCCAAACTCCTACATCATTTGACAACAACTATTACAAGAATCTCCTCAGAAAAAAGGGTCTCCTTCACTCCGATCAAGTTCTGTTTAATGGTGGATCAACAGATTCTTTGGTTAGAAGTTACAGCAGCAATCCTAAGAGCTTCAATTCTGACTTCGTCACCGGCATGATTAAGATGGGAGATATCGATCCTCTTACTGGATCTCAGGGTGAAATTAGGAAGATATGCAGCAAGCCAAATTAAACTGGAGTGGAGCTAGATCATTTCAATTTATTAATTTTCTGGATAAGAAATAAAGTTTTCTTTTGTGTGCTATTTTTTTTTTTTTTGGAATATATCCTGTTAATGGTACGATTTGTTTGATTGTTCGTACGAGATATAGAAGGAAAAACTATAAATGTCTCAAGTGTGAAATATTATTTGTGGAATTGAGTTAAGTTGGGATTGCAACAATGAATAAGATATATTATATATGAAATAGTGAGTTGATTATGTTTATTTATTTCAGTAAATTATAAATTAGTTCCTTTACTTTTGAAAAATTTATTAATTGGTATCTTTTATTTCAAAAACTAATTATTTAGTCTTTATATTTTTAAATTTTCTTATAACTTATGTCTTTTTTATTTTTTTCAATAAATTTTGATTTTTTTTATTTAAGAAATAGAAGCAAAAAATAAGTAAAAAAATATGAAAGGATTATTGAGAAAAAATAACATTTTATAAAATAAAATAATATTAAATTAAGTATTGTTAATACTGATAAGAGACTAAATGATTAGTTTCTAAAACTAAAAAAAACTATTTAATTTGTTACTCGAAAATAGAGGGATTAATTTATAATTTACTCTTATTTATTTATTGTAGATTTTGTCAACTTTAACCTTTGATGGTGCTGACCAAAAGCCTAGCTAATAATTTCTGTTTATTTGAAAACATTTAGCAAGCTGAGGAAGCATGAAGATGCAATATAATTCCAAACATTGACTAAATGTACTCATATGTACGTACTTGTGGAGACTTGGTTTTCTTTCCCTCTTGGTGATTGCCCAATTCAAGATCACAAATTAAAGTCCACGCATTGAACATAAGGTATGATTTTTCATAAATATCATCTACAAAGTCATAAATGTTATGATGCATCTTTTTATTTAAAACATATCTTCAAATTCATTATAGAAAATAAATAGAGAAAACATTATAGAAGGAGACAGACAGGAACAGGATATTAATGAATCACCTGCCAGTCTTCTTGTTCTGATTTTTGAGCTTGACAATAAAGAAGCATTGAAGCTACCTTCCATAGTTTAGACTTCTTACAAGACAAAACTGTCCAACTTCATTACCAATTGGTACAGAAGGTTGGGTCATGTTTGTACTGATGGCAGTGTAAAGACGATATCACCGGCTTGTAAAAGAAAACGAGCATAGTGAAATTTTTTCATCAAACCTCTGGTTCTTTCCATTCAACCATTAAATCCCAATATCTAGTGTCATCATACCCAGTAAGATTGCCAAAGATTGCAATCAGGATCAAGTTTATCAGCAAGTAATAGATTGGCTCAAATTGCATTTTCTTCATGTTCTTTAATTTGTAAAAAACAGAGAGGATCATATGATTTTATAAGATATCAATGTGTTTTTAATCTTAACAAAATATTGCCATATGTAAATCAAGATTTACTTGAAGTAGAATGACTTCAGCACAATCCCATATCACCATCAACTACTCTTCCTTTCATAAGCCAAACAGAGTAATCAACCACTGCGTTTATTGTTCTAACACTGACCAAGAGCACCAAACAACTTCAGTCTATCTTTGTTCTTGTCGTTGGTCTTGTCCAATTATGCATTTAGTTAGTGCCACGAACTCATTCATCAAAGGTTTATCCAAAAATTGACCGCGAAAATTGCATAGGAAGGTCAGGTTTCCTGTATTGATAGTCCTGACCATAAACTTCGTAAATAATCTCAAGCAACAAAGGAATCAACTTCAAACATAATCTCTATGTTGGTTATAATTTTAACTTAACCAATTTAATAATTCTACGACAGAATCAAATTCCCGAGATTTATGCTTTATTTCAGTTAAAACTTTTGCTGGTGGGAAGAACAGAATTGATGCGAGAATCTTTATGGGAAAAGAGTTTGGGAATACAATTAACTTAGACTCCAAAACATCCACTAATTTCAATTAGATTCTCAAATTACAAACTTCTTCAAATAAATTCCTAAAGGCTTCGATGCTTCTCGTTTCGGTCCCTCTACGCATATTAATGCGACACTTTCCTTTGTTTTACCCGAGGTGGTGGAACGACGTACTGGAAGAAATTGATATATCCATATACTGAACTCTTAGGAACTGTCCCATCACATAATTTTCTTTTGCTTTGCCTTGTTTTGTCAAAAGTTGGCGTCGGTGGAAGTGGAACATGACATCAATTCTAATAGATGCTTACATCTGAAAGATGACGCTCCACTTCCAAAAAGCCCTACATAACACAGCTTTTTTCTTGTATATATGGTCAGCTGCTGAGAAATACTAAGAGAGGAACTCATTTTAGGGCAGGATTTACAGTAGTAACTAGTATTGCATCGACAACAAAAATGTCAGACGGAAACAACGAAGCTACTGGAACAGTTACTACAGTTGTTGCAGTGGTAGTGATAGGTCTCCTGATTTATAGTTGCTGCAGATGTCGTACTAAGACGAATGAAGGTAAAACAATGAAAGCACCAGGGCAGGATTTTCGCATACCAAGGGAAGAATTTGTCGAAAATCCTTCTGGCTATTTCAGGAACTTGCGCAAGAAGAAGTAGACGATATCGATTCCAAGCCTCCAATATGGGCTTTTCACCCGTAGCCGACCCTTTCTTCTTCTTCTCTTCATCAACCCTACTCTAATTTCTTCCTTTCGTGTGGTTTCAAAAACTTTGATCTGTTTTAATATATGCTTTGGGGGCTTTATAATAAGTAGGTTATTGTGCTGTATGGGCTAGACTGAGTGAGCTTGTATGAACTTGAATATATCAATATATATTACATTTCTATTTCATACATGTACATACATACATATAGGTATACGTTTTCAAATTGGGATTGATAGTTATATTTTAAGTAGTATTAATAAAAATTATAGTTACATTTCTATTAATTTTTAGGTTGAAGTAGATCTAGTAGTGAAAACGGGAATTTCAAGCTAAGAACTAGTTCGAACGGCAATGATTTCATGCTAAAAGAAAATTCTAATTAATGATCTCGACGTAATTTAAAATACAAGCATTTGTGGGTTTCAAGCTAAGAACTAATACGAATGATCGACAGTGATTTCATGCCAAAAGAAATTCTAATGATCTCGACGTAATTTAAAAATACAAAGATTTGTGGGTTCATTGTAGCTTTTATTAAGGAATAGCTTATAAAATTTATATCAATCTATTATGATCTCGACAGTGATTTTTACTGTATTTTTTTGCATTTAGTAGCATATTATGAAACTAATAAAAAAAACAAAATGGTGGCAAGCAAACATGAGCAATAAACAAACACATAACTTTGCTCAACAAAGCGTTTTTAAGAATTTGATTGAAAGAGTTCAATATAAAATCGTTGATTTTTATTATTAGTATTATTATTTGGTCCATTGAAGGTTTGATGGGCCTTAAACTTATAAAAGTGAGACTCGAATCTTATGACACTAATTTTGTGGGCACAATTTCGGATTCAAACCCATGCAAAGTGCAACGGATCCCATTAAGACATATATGCAAAATTTGTATTTGAGCTACGGAATCAACCTCAAATGATGATCAACCTAAATTTTTGGCATCAGCAAAACTAATTATGCAAGTTATTGGTCATGGACATGAAGTTTTGTGAAGTATTGCAGAACTCGCATATGCTTTTTTCATTCAACAATGGTATTTGCTACTCCTAGAAGGTTATTTGTAGTTATGGATAGCAATGGATCATATACATGATCCATTAATTTGATTTTTTTCCATATATAATAAAGAATACTCTTAACCATATGGATTAAGAAATTATCTTCTAAACTCATAGTTGATCCATATCCAGTTTACAGAACAATTTAATACCATTGAAGCTACTAAAAATATATTGTCAAAATACTTCATTTTAGTCTCTATAATTTTCAAGGAAAAAAAAAGGTTATTTTTTTTACAATTTAATTTTTTTTAATAATTTGATTCTTTATTTATAAATATTTTGGTCACTATTTTATAAAATTTATGCAATTAGGTTTTGCATGTTAATTTTTTTTAATAAGTGTTAGCTAGATATAAAATGGATATAAATATACTAAAACGATATTAATGAATATGTATTTTTTTTATCTTTATCTATCTCAATATTTATTGAGTATTTTAAATAAATATTTACTCTGTCGAATAAAATAGATATTTACTTTATACTCTACGATTGACATCCATATGTGTAGTCTATATAATATAACATGAATTGGCAATTCAGGCAGTGATATTTCAATTTGAAAGTGGTTGGAGAAGTGGACCAAATAGGAATTTGGTTGTTGTAATTAAACATGGTTTGAATACTGTAGTGAAAATGGTTGGACACAATGATTAGAATCATATTCACTTTCGCTTTATAAAAAAAAAGGTAAAGATTAGTGGATGGAAAATTCTCTATGTTGGTTATAATGTTAACTTAAATCAATTCAATAATTCTCGTACAGAATCAAATTCCTGAGACTGATGCTTTATGGCAGTCTAAACTTTTGCTAGTGGGAAAACATAATTGATGTGGGGATTTTTACAGAAAAGAGTTTGGGAATAAAACTAACTTAGGCCCCAAACTATCCATTATTTTCAATTACATCCTCAAAATTACAAGCTTCTTCGAACTGATTCCAAAAGACTTGGAAGCTTCTCATTTCGGTCCCTCTATGCATATTAATGAGATTTCGAAGAGAATTTTACATTTTCTATATATATAAAAAAAGAATATATCTCATGATCTTATGACAATATATTCGATTGAGAAATTTCCATAACTTTGAACAGTTCATTGAGTTAATGTATTTTTTTTAATGTGGACCCAATTGGAGATTTGTGGATAATTTGGAACTAATCTATGGTTTTTCCAAATAATTCTTAATGTGGCCCCCGTCAGGCAAGGATTGCCTTCTTTCCATCCTCGAATCAAATGTTCCATCTACTCTTTTTAGCCGATGCTATTAAGTCCGTACAGTCAACTTATCAGGTCAGGGTCAATACTCAATGTTGGCGCTTTTGTATAAATTATAGCTGATAACTTAACTAAGCAGAACATTGACAGATAAGAAGAATTACTAGTTTGATTCTAAATTTTTGGAACTTTATTTATGCTTTCTTTTCAAGCCTTATCTTACATATATTTTCCATTGTGTTTTCCTATGATGCCCAAATCCCACTACCTCACGAGGGAAGCAAAGGAAGAAAAGAAAAAGAAAATCACATGCTCCCATTGTATCGTTTTCTTTTCTTTTGCTTTGTTTGTTTACTGTAGCTTTGTTTTGTCAAAAGTTTGTGGGTGGAAGTGGAACATGACATCAATTCTAATAAATGCTTACCTCTGAAAGATGACGCTTCAAGTTCCAAAAAGCCCTATATAACGAAAATTTTCTTACACATGAAGTCACTTGATCAGAGCCACCACTGATTCATCCCATCCTCCTGGTTCTCTTCCTTGCCAAGAACACTCCCCTCCCATCATTTCTATACAAATCGCAGTCTACCCTCTAAGCAATGGAACCGTCTCCTTCTCTTTCCACAATTTTCCGTTACCTTTTTGATCCAATAAAGAAATTTCTAGCTTCTGATGCAGTGCCTGGTTTCGTTTCCACTACTTTTCATAAGTTTTTAGAGCTAATAAAGAAAGTTATGGTTTCTGATGCAGTTTCTGATTACATCCATACAATTTCAGAGCTAATAAAGAAATTTATGGCTTCTGATGTAGTCTCTGATTTCATCCCTAAGCTTTCAGATGTAATTCAGAAAATTATGGCTTCTGAAGCAGTGTTTTATGTGGTCACCTGGTTTACGAAAGAAAACGCTACTACACTTTTTGCAGTGGTAGTGATGGGTCTCCTGATTTATATTTGCTGCAACTGCCTTCCTATGACGAAAATTGCAGGTAAAACAATGAAAGCACCAGGGCAGAGTTTTCGCATACTAAGGAAAGCGTTTGAAGCAAATCCTTCTGCCTATTTCAAGAACTTGCGCGGCAAGTAGAAGATATCCTCAGTCCCATGCTTTCAAGTTACTTTTGTTTCATCGAGCCTGCTTTAATTTCATTTTTTCTTGTGGGTTCAAAAACTTTGATCTGTTTTGATAGATGCTTTGGGGGCTTAGTAGGATACTATGCTGTATGGGCTGTTGGCTGTAGGCTGGGTTTCAATAATGAAGCTGGTCTTCACGATCAACAATTTTCATTTCGTCACTTCATATTGCAAGAATTTTAACGGTATTTGCATCAAGAACACGAATAACAAAAATTAAGGAAGGAAGAGATAACTCCATAGTATCCCAAGTCCAAAAACCTTTTATTGAATGAAGAATATCTTTTTTTTTTGTTTTGTGAATAATCTATTAGTATTGTCTGCTATTTCTTCCATGTTTCTCACAACTTGTATTCGTTATGTTTGATTGTTAGATCGTTTTTTTATAAATCATAATACTATCTTTTTGTATCTTAACTAGGCATTGATCGATTTTCAAAAACCTCTTATATATTTTGACGACTCCGATGACTCAGCTGGGGATCGACTCCAGAATCTCTGGTTTCGTAGACCAAATTACTGTGAAATTTACTATAATTAGATGATGAGATTGGGGTAATATATATATAAAAAAATAAAAATAAAAGCAAAACCGAAGGTGAGATTTCCTGTTTCGAGAGTCCTGATAACCTTCCTTCCATAAATATTGACCCAAAGTATTCCCATATTACTTAAGTAGACCATGGCTGATTACGAATAGAACGGGAGAAGTTTCCAATTTCTTTCCATTGTATATATACTAGTACATAAATTTCTTCAAAGTAGTGGGCGATAAAAATTGGACCAGTGTAGAATATGAATTAGAATCTTTTTTTTTTTTTTTTTTGACAATCACCAAACATTTGATAAGGATAAAATCAATGCTTCTATTATTTCTTCAATATTATAGCTAACAGTAATTTACTGTACTTGTACATTTGTTGTAGTTATCTTTTTTATTTGTCCTAGTTTATAAGATATGCTGCTATAAAATGTTTCTATAAAGTGAGTTAATAAATTATTTACATGGTATCAGAGCTTTTAAAGACTTAACAATCCTTTACATACTCACAATGGCAGATCAGAAGGTTCTGCTTGCTGCTTCCTCTTCATCCACTGCAACACCAACCCCTCTTCCTAACCTACACAATCATGTCCATTCTCAAACTTACTTTCACCAGCTTGATCCTATGATAAAAACAACTTCATTTTCTTTTACGTTGTCATGGCTTTCTTCACCATGTTGATGGATCACATCCTCCATCTGCTCTAACACTTTGCCAATAATGAACTCAATCCCTCGTATGTCCATTGGGAACGTCATAATTAACTCGTTCTAACTTGGATTGTTGGTTCACTCACATAATCCGTTTGTTCACTCACATAAGTCGTTTTGCATCTTGTTGTTGGGGCCTTTACAACTTGTCAGGCGTGGTCAAAATTAACAACCGCTTATGATTTTAACTCCAGAACTCAGATTAATCACTTGAAAAGCAATCTCTATTGCCTTGTTCAAAGGACCACTACATCTGTATAGTGGTATTTCTAGCATGGATGAGCTTGTTCAAGTTAATTTAAATCATATTTTGAGGCCTAATATAAGAGTTTAAGTTTTTAAATGAAATCATCCTTTAACATAATATCAGAATCTTTAGTGATCAAATGGTGACGAGTTTGAATTTAACCATCTCATATTTTTCTTCTAATTAATAAAGTATAAGATAGTATGGACTTATACAAATTTCAAGTTCGAAAGGTTTTTATTTGAGAGAGTGTATTAAGAGTTTAAGCTTTTAGATGAAACTAGTCGATTGCCCACGCTACATTGCGGATCCGATAGAATAAAATCATTTTAAAATTTAAAATTATAATTTTTTTAATAAATTTTCTACTTAAAAAAAAGTAAATCGTTTTCTTTATGGATTGATTTCAAAATAAAAAATTATAATAATTTTAACCAAAATATTAATCAATAATTTTAAAAAAATAAAATATAATTTTCATAATATTATATTTTAAAAAATAAAGCTATAATTAATGAACAAACTTTTACAAAAAATAACAAATGAAAAAAATTATTTAAAACTCGATGAGAAGATTAATTTTTGAAATAATACGCCCAACGATACAGATAGATAGAACAAAATTATTTCAAAATTTCATAATTTTTTATTAATTTTTTATTTCATTATAACTATTTTTTTGTGTGTTTTTCATTAAATTTTAACTTAAATAACATGATTTATTCTTCTTTATTCAGGAGTTTTTAAATAAAAACTTGTAATAATTTAACCTAAAATATTAATTAAGAATTAAAAAAATACTTTAAAATTATTTTTTTAATAAAAATATATCCAAAAAATAAAATTACAATTAATGTATAAGCTAAAGATAAATTTTTATTCTTATTTAATGTTGGTAAGAAGATTTTGTTTTTCAAGCACATGCATTTAATCTATACATATATTTATTTACAAAATAATCAATAAAATTAACATAAAAAACTATATTTGAACAATTGATTGGTTCATTTAAAAAATTATTTTAATTATTTTATTTCAAATAAATTGTTTCTATAATTTTTTTAAAAAAAAATGTTAAAAGCTCTGCAAATTGGGCAGTGTCGTTGACATCATATATGGACCCAGCCTCAGCCCATCAGCAATTGATAGGGCCACATCATATTGATTACATACATGAAGGATGTTATCCCAATGCTCATAGGCAAAGTTATCCTTGTGATAAGCTAAGCATCACTTCGCATGGACTGATCCTCCAAGGTAAACAATTCTTGTCATGCGCTTTGCAGTTAAGGGGATGTACCGCAGCAGAACCTCAGCTTGAATTGTGAAGTAATATACACCCTGCTGTTCTTGTTGATTTTTTTTTTTGACATTCTAGCAGTTTGATCATAATCTTTCAACATTTGGACTCCAATCATTTGAAGAGGCTTCTTAGCCTCAGCTTCCTTGGCCTTGTCTATTCTGTCCTCATCTTATAACTCCCAGTTTGCTCCACTTCTACTTCAACTCATCCTCCCCCTCTTCGACAGCGTCCTCATCTTCGACCTCTTTTGCAGCATCTTCTACATCATCATTGTTGTCCTCCTCATCCAACTCCGCTGGAAGTTCTGATGTATCCATTTCCACTGGTTTAACACGATTTCCATCAAAATCGTCTCCAAGAAATCAGTGCTTCCAGAATTCTAAATCTCCTTCATGCAACTGGATTCATGAAATTAGTTCATCTACCTCTTCATAAACCTGCAGAAAAATTACATCCAGTCCCTAACTCAAATACTTCACCTCTAAAATTTAAGCTATAAAACTATGCTTGCACTATTCAGTGTCTGCCCATAAAATATCAAAGATAGAGACCTCAAGCCTTTCCTCTAATCTGCCAAGCAAAAAGAAAGAAATTTGATCAAATCCTTAGAAAATAAGCAAAATGGTAAGAATCTACTCACTTTCTTGAAAAATTCGAGTCTCATACTGTATTATGGATGCAATTCTTAAGAGCAAGAATTCTTTCAAACACATATCACGCTCAATTTCCGGAACCTTGCCGCAACACAGCCTCCGTATTCTTTTGCCTGACAACATATATATTCGGTAAAAAGAACACTTCCTTCACTTTTATCAAACATAATTCTACATTTACAGAAACCAAACCAGTGCTAAAAAATTCATGTACAGTGATTATATACTTCAATCTCATAAACAGAACAAACCTGGGTAGCACAATTAACTAAAATTCGTCTCAGCGTGGAATTAGTATTCCTTTCTTTCATCCCCACAATCCTGTTAAAAAAGTAGGATGATTAATAAAATTTCAACCAAGCATAGTATTGCAAGGTGAAGTACAGGCATATCCAATCAGAAGAAAAACTGTGTTCACTCACTATTTCCATTTGCCTTCTATTTGCCACTGTTCCTTTTTTTAACTTCTATGATGCATCATGTAATTTATTGTCGATTCCAGAATTTAGCAATCTAAGAGTCCAACTAAATTGCATTAGGCACTGAACCTAAGTACTACCACCTAAGAACTTCAACAAATGAAAGATTTTGAATTTCCACACCTTCCATGTAGAACATCAACATTATCTTTAGTAGAATGTGGCCATTTGTCAAGCTCTATCACTCTTACAACCCTTTTCAAAGAGTTTATAATCGGGACATCACTGCTGAGTTGGTTTCCCGTTAGGTAGGAATTGTGGCCAGTATATATGAAATAATGGGACAGTGGTTTGGTCATAACCTGATGAACCTGAAAAGAAAGCACTATTGAGTATTAAAACACCAAAAATTCGTTCAAACAGTGTGAAAGCTAAAAAAAATTAGACTTTTTAATCCCATTATCCAATGACAACCCAGTTTCCCGATCATTAAAGACCCTTCATACTCAAAAACTAAAATTGACACTGACAAGCAATGCAGTGCTTTGAATCTAAAAAGACTATGAATTTACTCTAATGATGAGATTTACCACTGGGCACTGCTGGAATTACATTTCCATTTTAAAATTGGTAAGAAAAAGAAATTGAAAAATAAATAAATAAATAATCCAATTACCTGATCTCCAATAGGGGGATTGAGAACAGCAGAGAACAGATAATGGTGAAAGTCATGAAAAGCAAGGTAACAATTTTACAAATTTAAAAATTTGTTAACCAAATAATTAACGATTAATAAAAACGCAAAAGAAAACCCTAACAAACTAAACCGAAGCTAATCCAATGAGACAAACGCAGTTCTTTGAAAAAAAGAAAAAAAGCAGAATCGATGAATTCGATTAGCAAGAACCAGAGAGAAAATATGAGAAAATACCCGGAGAGGCAAACAATGAATGGCAAGCAAGAAAATGAAGCAGGATGGCTTGTTTTTCTGAGTGGTTAACACCTAACAATCCCATACCGGTTAGACAGGATGCCAACCAAACGGCATAGATAAGGAGCACTTCCACTTCCACAAAGCCATGCATAACAGGATGCCAATCAATGAAAAATGACCTGCCAATTTATGTTAGAAAAAAATTCGTTAGTTTTGCTGCCACTTCCACAAAGCCATGCATAACACCACATTTTCTTAAATGCGAAGTCAACTTTTATCTCCTAACATGCTCTTCCATTCTCTTCCTTACTCAAAACACTCACCTCCCATCATTTCTATACAAATCGCAGTCTGGCGCCCCTAAGCAATGCAACCATCTTCTTCTCTTTCCATAATTTTCAATGAGTTGTCAGATGTAATACAGAAATTTTTGGCTTCTGATTCAGTCTCTGATTTCATCCATAAGCTTTCAGATGTAATACAGGATTTCATCCATTAATCTTATGATGCAATACATAAATTTATATGGCTTCTGGTGCAGTTTCTGATTTCATCAATGAACTTTCAGATGTAATACAGAAATTTATGACTTCTGATGCAGTCTCTGATTTCATCCATAGGTTTTCAGATGCAATACAGGATTTCTTCCATAAGTTTTCAGATGTAATACAGAATTTTTTGTCTTCTGATGCAGTCTCTGATTTCATCCACGAGCTTTCAGATGTAATACAGAATTTTTGTCTTCTGATGCAGTCTATGATTTCATCCACGAGCTTTCAGATGTAATAAAGAAATTTATGGCTTCTGATGCAGTCTTTGATCTCATCCATAAGCTTTCAGATGTAATACAGAAATTTTTGGCTTCTGATGCAGTCTCTGATTTCATCCATAAGCTTTCAGATGCAATACAGGATTTCATCCATAAGTCTTCACATGCAGTACATAAATTTATGGCTTCTGATGCAGTCTCTGATTTCATCTACAAGCTTTCAGATTTAATAAAGAAACTTATGACTTCTGACGCAGTCTCTCATTTCATCCATAAGTTTTCAGATGTAATAAAGAATTTTATGGCTTCTGATGCAGTCTCTGATATCAATAAGCTTTCAGATGTAATTCAGAAATTTATGGCTTCTGATGCAGTCTCTGATTTCATCCACAAGCTTTCAAATGTAATACACGATTTCATCCATAAGTCCTTAGATGCAATACAGAAATTTATGACTTCTGATGCAGTCTCTGATTTCGTCCACGAGCTTTCGGATATAATACAAAAATCTATGGCTTCTGATGCAGCGTTGGTCAAATGGTTTAACAATGTGGCCTTTTTACCGGATAGCAGACCATTTCTTCTTCTTCTCTTCATCGACCCTACTCTAAATTCTCCTTTTAGTGTGGTTTCAAAAACTTTGATCGGTTTTAATATATGCTTTTGGGGCTTCATAATTAGTAGGTTATTATGTTGTATGAACTTAAATATGTCAAAATATATTACATTTCCATTTCATCACTTAATATATATTCTTTCTCAAATCAGGATCGATAGTTATATTTTAAGTGATAATGAAAATTACAGCAAAAGTTACATTTGGAGGAAAGTAGAACTAACAGTAGAAACAGAAATTTCACGATAAAAACTAGCACGAATGGAAGTGATTTCATTCTAAGAAAAATTCTAATGATCTGGGCGTAACTCAAAAATACAAACATTTGTGGCTTGAATACAGATTTTATTATGGACAGCTCATGATATTCGTAGTCATATATTATGAGCCTTTGAATTTAGCATTGGATAGAACTCATAATTCTGCAGTATTTTTGTGTATTTGGTAGCATATTATGAAACTACCGAACACACAATGATTGGTATCATAGTCACTTTTGCTTTGCAAAAAAGGTAAAGATTAGTTGATGGAAAATTTCTATCCACTATTTTAGGGACAGTCAGTTTATGGACTGGTTTCAATCCAGAAGCAATCACATGGCCAAAAATGCGAGAGATAAATGGAGGGCCGTGATTGATAGCAGGAAAAATTGTATAAAAACAGACCTGTAGGGTTAGCAGAAAGGGGGTTAGCAGCCAAAAAAAAAAAAAAAAAAACGAGAGATAAAGGAAGCAAAAACAAACAGTAGGAAAAGAAAAAAGACAGAGCAAGAAAAAGAAAAAAGAAAAAAGGAACTATGACTCTGAGACTTGCTTTGATTGTCAAGCTCTCTTTAGGTTATAGCACCATCTAAGGGTGAGGGAAGGAAGATCAATAGAGTGTCAGGAGGAAGAAGACTGAAACGGTTTGAGCTTGAGAAACAGAGGGTGCATTCGGTTGATTCAGCGTTCATCCCCTTTCATTTCATTTTCAAACTCTCATCTTCACTCAGGTAATCCTATAACCTATTCTGATACTATTCTGTGCGAAGCATGCGTTAGTTGTTTTCCCTGACGCATTGAGCAAGTGACTGTGACTTAGTCGTCACTGTCACTGCATGAAGGTCCTAAAAGCATAAATGGATGTTTTCATGTTTCTTTGGTATGGAGGCATGAATGATAATACTTAGATTCTGAAAAGGGGTTTTGGGATGATAGTTAAGCTGTTATAGTTGAATGCAGTAGGCACGATGTGTTGTGAAAGAGAAAGAAGAAGAACGAGAGGGAGAGAGGAACAAAGTGCTGTTTGATCGAAATTTTAAAAGGAACAAAAAAATGGGTTGTGTTTATGGACTTTAAGTCCAGTCCAGTAAGCTAAAAGGTCGGTTGGGCGAAGCCCAACCCACACCTAACATTCCAACAGCCATGCTGAATAAAGGCTGGGCTGGTTTCAGTCCAGCCCAGACCCAGTAAAAAAAGGGAGCAAACAAGAAGCTGGAACTAGTCCGCTTCACCCGAATATATATATACACACACACAAAGCAAAATGAAACTGGAACTACTCCAGTCAAGAAGAAAGAAAGAAAAAAGTCAAAAAAAAAAAAAGGAAAAGGAAGAGAAAAGGAGGCAGAAAGGAATGACGGGTAGCCCAATGGGCCAAGGACCCAATAAGGGGTTTGGGGATAAAACTAACTTAGACCCCAAACTATCCACTATTTTCAAATAGATTCCTAAAGACTTGGAAACTTCTCATTTCGGTCCCTGTATGCATATTAATGCGATTTCGAAGAGAACTTTACATTTTCTATTAAAAAAAAACGAAAATATCTGATGATCTAAGAATAAAATATTCTACCGAGAAATTTCCATAACTTTGAAAAGTTCATTGAAATATATACTTTTTTATGTGGACCCAATTGGAGAGATTGGTGGATAATTTCTAACTAATCGATGGTTTTTCCAAATGATTCTTAATGTGGCCCACGTCAGCCAAGGACCCGGAAAGAACGGGTCATCTTTTTGTCTTATTGTCTTCCTTCCATCCTCGAATCTTCCATCTTTTCTTCTAGCCAATACTATTACATCCGTACAGTCAAATCATTAGGTCAGGGTCAACGACAATCGCCAATGGAGAAACTTTTGTGTCATTGTTTTTCAAGTCTACTCGGCATTAGAGACTTTAATGAAATAGAAATTTTTGCCATTGAAAGAACTTTAGAATGGAGTGTTTATCGTCTTCTTAAACAACAAATCCATTGAATTGTTAAATCAAATTCTTCAAATATTATCACCTCGATTGTACTATCAGTTGGGTTTTAAAAAATAAATATTAAAACTTAGATTTTGATTTCAATAGCATTGTTTTTCTCTGTTAATAAATTGAATTCTGTTTATTTTGATAAAGTGAACAAAACAAGAAATTTGTAGTTGATAGTTTAATTAAGTATAGCATTAACGGATAAAAAATTACTAACTTGGCTAGCTCTAAATCTTCGTAATTTTGTTACAAGTTTGAGTAATTTTATAATACATCAAGAGTAACTAATGGCATGTACGATGTAGTTACTCTATGGCCCCACTTTGAAGAGAAAGATAGACAAAAAAAAAAAAAAAGAAAAGCGAGGAGATAGAAAATAAAAAAATTTGAACGAACGTGTAAATCTTCTTATCACTTTTGATGGATATGGATGTAATTTCATTATTTATTTTTTTGTCTATCTCTCTCCTCAAAGTGAGCTCATGGAGTAACTACTATACATATCACTAGTTACTCTCGATGTATTATAAAATTTCTCTACAAGTTTAGAACCCTAGAAATTACTTTAAAAAAAAAAAAAAAAACTAGAACAATGTAGAAAATGTTTGATTTTTATATAAATTTGATAGAATTTTAACTAAAATTCATCATATCTCTTGCATGTTCGATCTTTGATATCAATTCAAACAAGGTAGAAAACCTAATCACTGTTAAAGAATCTAACCTATATTGAATAAATTAACAAAAATAAATAAATAACATATATAGTTAAGAAATAATTATACACCATAAAATTTATTTTTTTAGATATAATTCAATTTCAACTCTATAACTCAATAATCATTGAATTTTCAAGCACTATCTTATATGATCGGACGTGTTACCTAACTCCGTTGCCTAAATCATATGAACCAAAGACGAGGGAAAAAAAAAAATTAACCTGCTCCCATTGCATCATGTTCTTCTCTTTTGCTTTGTATTTTTACTTAAAGTTGGTGGGTGGAAATGCTTACATCTAAAAGGTGAGGCTCCAAGTTCCAAAAGCCCCACATATCACCACTTTTTTTCAAATATGAAGCAACTTGATCAGAGCCACCATTGTTGTCTCATCCCATCCTCTTTTTTCTCTTCCTTACCAAGAACCTATACAAATCGCAGTCTACCCCCTAAGCAATGCAACCATCTCCTTCTCTTTCCACAATTTTCTATTACCTTTTTGATCTAATAAAGAAATTTATGGCTTCCGATGCAGTCCCTGATTTCATTTCAACCGTTTTTCATAAGCTTTTAGAACTAGTAAAGAAAGCTATGGCTTCTGATGCAGTGTCTGATTTCATCCATAAACTTTCAGAGCTAATAAAGAAAGTTATGGCTTCTGATGCGGTCTCTGTTTTCATCCATAAGCTTTCAGATGTAACACAGACATTTATGGCTTCTGATGCAGTGTTATATGTGGTCAATTGGTTTAAGAAAGATAACGTTATTTCTATTGTTGCAGTGGTAGTGGTAGCTCTCCTGATTCATAGTTTCTGCAAATGTCTTACTAAGACGAAAACTGCAGGTAAAACAATGAAAGCACCAGGGAAGAATTTTCGCATACCAAGAAAAGAGTTTGAAGCAAATCCTTCTGGTTATTTCAGGAAGTTGCGCAACAAATAGTAGAAGACATCCTCCGTCCCGAGATTTCAAGTTACTGTTTCTTCATCGAGCCTGCGTTAATTTCTCCTTTTTCAAAAACTTTGATCTGTTTTACTAGCTGCTTTGAGGCTTAGTATGATATTATGCTGTATGGGTTATAGGCTGGGTTGCAATATTTAATGTACGTGGTCTTCATGATCAACAATTTCCATTTCATCGCTTCATATTCCAAGAATTTTAATGGTATTTGCATCAAGAACACGAACACCAATAAACCTTTTATGGAATGAAGATTTTTTTTTTTTTTAATTTTATGAATGAACCATATGTTTTTGTAATCTGAACAATTTTGTAGAGGAATGGTATTTTGCGTAATACCAAATTATCCTAATCAATTTAGGTAATTTTTTTTTTTTTTTTTTTTTGTAAAACAGGTAATTACCTGAAATAAATTTTGAGAGTTTTGGGTAATAAGGAAAAAAAAATAACAACCGGGCAACGAGTAAAAAATTCAGGTGATTTGGGACCAAATTGTTTGATCAATTAAAACTAATTCGGATAAAATAAATAAAATTTCAAATCAAATAATGAGGAAAATGTTATGCAAAATAATACTTCTTCTGCTACAAAATGATTATCTTCTTTGACTTGTCACACATATTAAAACGATTATTAATTATTGTGTATATCAATATTTTTTTGTTCAAACTTTTCATAAATACTTTTTTTTGTATAATTGCATATGGGCAATCTTTACCAAATGAACTTTATTTAGGAGTATTTAAAAAATATATATTATTTAAAATTTTGATTAATCAACCAATTTTTAACAGATATAAATAAAAAGTAGACTATGTACGGAGGAAATAATTTTTTATCCGAATCATCTGAATGTTAATTCAAACCTTCCTGCTACCTTAATGATGAACATAAGAAAAAAACGATTCTGATGCTCCCATCGGACCCATCCCATAATTTTATGTTCTTCTTTTCCTTAATTTCTTTACTTTTGCTTTGTTTTATCAAAAGTTGGTTGGGGCGGAACTTGACTCACATCTAATCAGTAACACTCTACTGTATTTCCTTAAACGTGAAGTCACTTGGTCAGAGGAACCATTAAGTCTTTGTTCCCTTCTCATATCTAATTACATGCACTGTTCGTTTCTTACTTTCTCTTGATTCTCTTACCTATTCAGAACACTCCCCTCCCATCGTTTCTATACAAATCGCAGTCTACCCTCTAAGCAATGGAACCATCTCCTTCTCTTTCCACAATTTTCCATGATCTTTTTTATCTAATAAAGAAATTTCTGGCTTCCGATGCAGTGCCTGATTTCTTTTTCACAATTTTTCATAAGCTTTTAGAAGTAATAAAGAAAGTTATGGCTTCTGACGCAGTGTCTGATTTCACCCATACACTTTCAGAGCTAATAAAGAAATTTATGGCTTCTGATGCAGTCTCTGATTTCATCCATAAGCTTTCAGATGTGATACAGAAAGTTATGGCTTCACGACTCCATCCCGGAATCTTCCAACTATCTATTAGGATCTTATATTATCCGATGCGTTGCCCAAATAGTAAATCCTACTACTACCTTATGGATTAAGAGAAACAAAAAATTATGTGATGTTCATTTTTTTCTTTTTCTTTTTGTTTTATATGATATTTTAGATGAAATTGAAGATAAGTTAGCAAATTATTTAAAATATATAGAATTAATATTATAATTTGAAGAAATAACAATCATCCTTGTCTTTATAGATAAAAAGAAAAAAAATTTAATGCTCTTGAGAATTTATAAAAATAATAAAATGGTAGTTCGTTGATAAATAAATATCAATTTATAATTTGTAAAATTAAATTAATTTTTATCATAAATATTGTTAAAATATTCAAAGTAATACATTATAAAATACCTCCTACTCCTGTCTACTAAAAAAATCTCGAAATATGACAAACCTAGTACGAAAACACTTTATTGATGTGGAAAAAAACCGGAAAAATAAAGTTAATCCACGGTCATTTTCCTTTCTTTTGCTTTTTCTCTTTACTTTTGCTTTATTTTGTCAATTTGTCAAAACTTGGTGGGATAAGTGATCAATTTTCAGAGACGCATGCATCCAAATGATACTCGAGTTACGAGGAATTCTGACCAGAATATTGATTTAAACTTTGAATGACCTTTTTTTCCGTAAAATGAATTAAATAATATTTTTATTTGACAAATAATTAATTAATCTATTAACAAGTTATTTTTGTCTAATTCTTAACGCAATATATATACTTTTATAAAAAAAAATTGAAGTTTACCGAAAAAAAAAAATTCGTTTGTTTTGCTCCCCGAGGTGGAGAAATACTTTGACTATAAATGGATGAAACTTTAGAGAAATAATTGATAAGAGGGACAGAGGAAGAAACTGATATATCCAGATACTTAACTCTTAAGAAACGTCCCACCACATAATTTTCTTTTCTTTTGCTTTGGCTTCGTCGAAACTTGGTGGAAGGTGCAAGGAAGTGGAATATGACATCAGTTCTAGTACGTGCTTAACTCTAAAGCATGACGCTTCACTTCCAAAAAGCCCTACACAACAGCGCTTTTTTCTTCTATATAGTGTCAGTTGCTGAGAAACACTAAGACATAGGAACTCATTTTAGAGCAGGATTTAAAACACTGAGTAGTAATAGCATTGACGATAAAAATGTCAGACGGAAACAACGGAGCTACTGGAACAGTTACTGCTGCAGTGGCAGCGGCAGCGGCGGCGGCAGCAGGGATCGGTCTCCTGCTGTTTGGCTCTTTTTCTAAGGCGAATGAAGGTAAAACAATGAAAGCACCAGGGCAGGATCATCGCATACTAAGGAAAGGATTTGAGGAAAATCCTGCTGCCTATTTCACGGATTTGCACAGGAAGAAGTAGAAGATATCGATCCCAAGCCTCCAATATGGCGTTTTCCACCACCTTTTCTTCTTCTCTTCATCAACCCTACTTTAATTTCTCCTTTTCTTTTGGTTTCAAAAACTTTCATGTGTTTTAATATATGCTTTGGGGGCTCAATAATTATGCTGTATGGGGTGAGCTTGTATGAACTTAAATATCTCAATGTCTATTACATTTCCATTTCATCACTTTATTATCTTGGCGTAATTTCATTAAAATATACAAAATCAGTGTTGTGATCTCTAAATGTAAGGATAGATCTTATGATGTTGGCTTAATTTCATTAAAATATATAAAATCAGTGTTCTGATCCCTAAAAATAATGATGGATCTTGTGATCTTGGCGTAATTTTATTAACATATACAAAATCAGTGTTGTGATCCCTAAAAATTAAGGATGGATCTTATGATCTTGGCTTATCATTAGCTTAATTTCTTTAAATTATATAAAATCATGGTTGTGATTTGTAAACGTACTGATGGATCTTATGGATAAAAAATTGAAAAGAAAACAAAATGATGCCATGGTCATTTTCTTTTCTTTGCTTTTTATCTTTACTTTTGCACTGTTTTGTCAAAACTTGGTGGGATATGTCATCAATTTTAAGAGATCCATGCATCCAAAATTTATACCTCGAGTTACGAGGAATTATGACTAGAATATTGATCTAAACTTTGGATGACGAATGAAGAAAAAAATTTTTTTTTTTTTTTGTTATTTATGAATTATCTCTATGTTTTCGTAATATACTAATATGAACAATTTTGTAGAGTAATTCGAGGAAATTAATTGAATCTCTTCATTAGGATATGGGCGACGTTTGTTTATTTATTTATTTTTATTTTTTTTTTGTCTAATTCAAATGTGGAGGAAATTTCGGTAAAATCACTATATTTTTCATAATATCTGAGAACGTAATTGTGATTTACATAAAAATTTTGTATTGTTTTATTGTCTATTATGTACTTAGCTCTCGATGCTGTAGCTCGAGAAATAATAAGAATTTGTTAATAACAAAAAAAATTTTTAATTTTTGTATTCAACAAAGGTTGTTTTTGAAAATTAATTAATTGAATGAGCAAATTGTTGGTGAACAAATACTTGAAGTCCATTGCTTACTTGATTAGATTCTGATTATTAATTTTTCATTATGGTCTATTTCTTCTCCATTATTTGGGCTTGTTGTCTAATGACTTGGAAACTTCATACGAAGACTCCCTGCTCATTTTTCCTTGCTTAGTACAAATGCATTAATTTTTTTATTTTCTTTTTTTAACTCACACGTTCAAAATTTCAATCTATAACCTCTTGTTTGGTCACATGCACTAACTTCTACTCTACGGTGAAGGCCACATCTCTCTCCATATGTTCGATGAGTACCGGCCTAAGATGTACCCTAGCTTTGACTTTGTAAACTCTTCATGTAATTTCCTAACTCTTTGATAGATGACCCTGCAATAATTCGTAGACTTCGGGCCCGTCGATTCCCTTTCGAATTCAATGACGATGGACCCCAAGATTGTACATGGTAGATAAGTCGAGGATCCTATATATATTATATATTGTGTAAATGCAGCCCTTCTTTTTCTACTCATCCTATCCACCCACCATAGATATATAGTTGCAGTGCTAGAAAGAACAATAATAATTAATGCACCCCTTCTTCTTGGAGAAAAAATGTCGATAGCTCACCAAGTGACATTCTCGGGTGGTGGAGAGACCAGCGTCATATTTCTTGAAGTCATCCTTCCGTAGAGAGAAGGCTGATAAGGACTATGTAGAGTAGTGCCATTCATGTTTAGAACAGAAGCTGGCTGATAATCTTTCTTAGGTTAACACCTTGTCCTATTAGAAGTAAGCTCAAATTTAAGTCAATTTCTAGAATATACGTAATTTTGTAGAGGAATTTGAGGAAATTAATTGAATCTCTCGTTAAATTATGGGCAGCATATGAGCCTTGATAGGTTCTTAGTACCCTATAGAGCACGAATTGGCAATTCAAACTGTGATTTTTCTATTTGTTAGAGGTTGAAGAATTAGAATGTTGGACCAAAAAGCATTTAACAAAAAAAAGCAAAGATTAGTTATAAAAAAAAATCTCTATTTTACCAATAAATTTTTGATCTAATAATAAACGAATTGGTTCGATATGAAATTTTTGCCATTGCAATGGAGTGTTTATCGTCTTCTTAGACAACAAATCCATTGAATTGTTAAATCAAATTCTTCAAATACCATCACCTCGATAGTACTATCAGTTGGGTTTAAAAAAATAAATATTAAAAATTAGATTTTGATTTCAATAGCATTATTTTCTCTGTTAATAAATTGAATTCTGTTCATTTTGATAAAGTGAACAAAACAAGAAATTTGTAGTTGATAGTTTAATTAAGTATAGTATTAACAGATAAAAAATTACTAACTTGGCTCTAAATCTTCATAATTTTGTTACAAGTTTAGAAACCTAGAAGTTACTTAAAAAAAAAAAAAAAAACTAGAATAATGCTCCACCTATCCATTAAAATGTTTGATTTTTATATAAATTTGATCGAATTTTAACTAAAATTCATCATATCTCTTGCATGTTCGACCGTGAATATCAATTCAAACAAGGTAGAAAACCTGATCACTGTTAGAGAATTTAACATATATTGAATAAATTAACAAAAATAAATAAATAACATATATAGTTAAGAAATAATTATACACCATAAATTTTTTTTTTAAGATATAATTCAATTCCAACTCTATAACTCAATAATCATTGAATTTTCAAGCATTATCTTATATTATCGGACGTGTTACCTTACTCCGTTGCCTAAATCAAATGAACCAAAGACGAGGGAAAAAAAAATTAACTTAAAGTTGGTGGGTGGAAATGCTTACATCTAAAAGGTGGGGCTCCAGGTTCCAAAAAGCCCCACATATCACCACTTTTTAAAAAATATGAAGCAACTTGATCAGAACCACCATTGTTGTCTCATCCCATCCTCTTTTTTCTCTTCCTTACCAAGAACCTATACAAATCGCAGTCTACCCCCTAAGCAATGCAACCATCTCCTTCTCTTTCCACAATTTTCCATTACCTTTTTGATCTAATAAAGAAATTTATGGCTTCCGATGTAGTCCCTGATTTCATTTCAACCGTTTTTCATAAGCTTTTAGAACTAGTAAAGAAAGCTATGGCTTCTGATGCAGTGTCTGATTTCATCCATAAACTTTCAGAGCTAATAAAGAAAGTTATGGCTTCTGATGCGGTCTCTGTTTTCATCCATAAGCTTTCAGATGTAACACAGACATTTATGGCTTCTGATGCAGTGTTATATGTGGTCAATTGGTTTAAGAAAGACAACGTTATTTCTATTGTTGCAGTGGTAGTGGTAGCTCTCCTGATTCATAGTTTCTGCAAATGTCTTACTAAGACGAAAACTGCAGGTAAAACAATGAAAGCACCAGGGAAGAATTTTCGCATACCAAGAAAAGAGTTTGAAGCAAATCCTTCTGGTTATTTCAGGAAGTTGCGCAACAAATAGTAGAAGACATCCTCCGTCCCGAGATTTCAAGTTACTGTTTCTTCATCGAGCCTGCGTTAATTTCTCCTTTTTCAAAAACTTTGATCTGTTTTACTAGCTGCTTTGAGGCTTAGTATGATATTATGCTGTATGGGTTATAGGCTGGGTTGCAATATTTAATGTAAGTGGTCTTCATGATCAACCATTTCCATTTCATCGCTTCATATTCCAAGAATTTTAATGGTATTTGCATCAAGAACACGAACACCAAAAATTAAGGAAGGAGGAAAAAACTCCACCGTATTCCCAAGTCCAATAAACCTTTTATGGAATGAATTTTTTTTTTTTTTTTTTTTTTTTTTTTTTTTTAATGAATGATCCATAGGTTTTTGTAAACTGAACAATTTTTTAGAGGAATGGCATTTTGCGTAGTACCAAATTATCCTAATCAATTTAGGTAAAAAAAATTAATTATTTTTTATTTTTATTTTTTTGTAAAACAGGTAATCACCTGAAATAAATTTTGAGAGTTTTGGGTAATAAGAAAAAAAATAACAACCTTTACAAAATTCAGGTGATTTGGGACCAAATTGTTTGATCAATTAAAACTAATTCGGATAAAATAAATAAAATTTCAAATCAAATAATGAGAAAAATGTTATCCATAATAATACTTCTTCTGCTACAAAATGATTATCTTCCTTGACTTTTCACACATATTAAAAAGATTATTAATTATTGTGTATATCAATATTTTTTTGTTCACATTTTTCATAAATACTTTTTTTTGTATAATTGCATATGGACAATCTTTACAAAATGAACTTTATTTAGGAGTATTTTAGAAAATATATTATTTAAAATTTTGATTAATCAGACAATTTGTAACAGATTTAAATAAAAAGTAGACTATGTACGGAGGAAATACTTTTTTACCCGAACCATCTGAATGTTAATTCAATCCTTCCTGCTACCTTAATGATGAACTTAAGAAAAAAATGATTCTGATGCTCCCATCGGACCCATCCCATAATTTTATGTTCTTCTTTTCCTTAATTTCTTTGCTTTTGCTTTGTTTTATCAAAAGTTGGTTGGGGTGGAACTTGACTCACATCTAATCAGTAACACTACTGTATTTCCTTAAACGTGAAGTCACTTGGTCAGAGGAACCATTAAGACTTTGTTCCCTTGTCATATCTCATTCCATGCACTGTTCGTTTCTCGCTTCCCTCTTCATTCGCTTCCTTACTCAGAACACTCCACTCCCATCATTTCTATACAAATCGCAGTCTACCCTCTAAGCAATGGAACCATCTCCTTCTCTTTCCACAATTTTCCATGATCTTTTTGATCTAATAAAGAAATTTCTGGCTTCCGATACAGTGCCTGATTTCTTTTTCACAATTTTTCATAGGCTTTTAGAAGTAATAAAGAAAGTTATGGCTTCTGACACAGTGTCTGATTTCACCCATACACTTTCAGAGCTAATAAAGAAATTTATGGCTTCTGATGCAGTCTCCGATTTCATCCATAAGCTTTCAGATATAATACAGAAAGTTATGGCTTCTGATGCAGTGTTATATTTGTTCAACTGGTTTAAGAAAGAAAACGTTACTACACTTGTTGCAGTGGTAGTGATAGGTCTCCTGATTTATATTTGCTGCAAATGGCTTCCTATGAGGAAGATTGCAGGCAAAACAATGAAAGCACCAGGGCAGAGTTTTCGCATACTAAGGAAAGCGTTTGAAGCAAATCCTTCTGCCTATTTCAAGAACTTGCGCGGCAAGTAGAAGATATCCTCAGTCCCATGCTTTCAAGTTACTTTTGTTTCATCGAGCCTGCTTTAATTTCATTTTTTCTTGTGGGTTCAAAAACTTTGATCTGTTTTGATAGATGCTTTGGGGGCTTAGTAGGATACTATGCTGTATGGGCTGTTGGCTGTAGGATGGGTTTCAATATTGAAGCTGGTCTTCACGATCAACAGTTTCCATTTCATGACTTCACATTCCAAGAATTTTAATGGTATTTGCATCAAGAACACAAACAGATAACTCCATCGTATTCCCAATTCCAATAAACCTTTTTTTGAAGAAGAATAACTTTTTTTTTTTTTTTATGAATAATCTATATACATGTTTATGTAATATGAACAATTTTGTAGAGGAATTTGAGGAAATTAATTGAATCTCTCCTTAAATTATGTGCAATATTTGAGCCTTGATAGGTTCTTGGTATGAATTGGAATCCTCAAAAAAAAGTAAAGATCAGTTGATAAAAAATTATGTATATTGTTTATAATTTTTTTTTAATGCAAAGAAAAGAAACAAAAAGCTAGCTACTAAAAAAACAAATCTTTCCTTCTTATACTGAGATGTTGAATTGAGGAATTTTCTAAGACTTTAAAAAGTTAATTGAAATATATATATATATATATATATATAGGATCCAATGGGAAAGTAGTGGATAATTTGGAAACAGGTTGGCTCATGTCAGCCAAGGACCGGGAGCTCTTTATTTATTTGTTTTTATCGACTTTCCATAATTCCATCCCGGAATCTTCCAACTATGTATTAGGATTTGATATTATCCCATGTGTTGCCTAAATAGTAAATCCAACTACTACCTTACGGATGGAGAAAAAAATTATGTGATGTTCATTTTCTTTTCTTTTGCTTTTTCTCTTTATTTTTGTTTTATATGATTTTTTTAGATGAAATTGAAGATAAGTTAGCAAATTATTTAAAATATAAAAAAATAATATTATAATTTATAGAAATAACATTCATCTTCATCCTTATAGACAAAAAGAAAAAAAATTTACTGCTCTTGAGAATTTATAAAAATAATAAGATGATAACTCGTTGATAAATAAACGTTAATTTGTAACTTGTAAACTAGGTCTAAGGTTTAATTTGTATGACAAATATTTCTTAAAATTTATATTTAAAATATTTGAAATCGTGAATTATGAAATGCTCGTTAATTAATAAAACAAATTAAAACAAAACATTGGTTTACCGTTCCAAACATTGTTCATACACTCATATTTTACTATTCACTCACTCACATTTCACTATTCTTTTTACTCGTTCATGGCTTTTTTTACACTTTGGTGCTTGATATTTTTGTATAAATATTTCGATTCATATCTTCATTTGCTCATCCATTTTGGTCCTTGAGTGCGAGAGATAGGAAGGGAGGGAGAGAGAAAAACGAGATGAGAGAAAGATAGTCGGTCAAGCTTATTTAGGCCGGTTTGATCGACGAGAATCCACTAGATTTTTTTTATGTTTGAGAGATGAGTTTGTTCATGGTTGTTTCAAGCTATTAAACAATTAGAGAAGGTAGATCGGAGCCAAAAAAGAAAAAAAAATCAATTTGATTATGTATTTTTCTTTGTTTTGGTTTACATTAAAATGATTTTTAAGGTTTTAGATATGTTTATTGGCTTTATTTCGATCATTTAGAGGTGTTTCGAAAAAAAATGATACCAGGATTCAATTTGTTAGGGTCTCGAAACTTGATTCTCGATTTTTCAACAAAGATTCCGACGAAATAGAGTTTGTCGAAAGTTGAAGGTTTTTTTTTTTTTTCAAGTGCACTCGGTTGCACAAATCAACCAGTCGCCTTTCCTCCTCCCTTTTTTTTTTCTTTTGATATATATATATATATGAGGGAAAAAGAAAAGAAAAAAGGTCTACCAAATAAAAAAAAATGTGAAAAATATATTTTTTAGTTCTCGTGTACAGACTTATATATATCCGATTATATTACTTTTATTGTTTAAATTTATTTCTTCAATTATTTGTTTCTTATTAAAATTCTCATCAAATTAATTTTTTGATATAATTTTATTTGTTAACAAATTTATTTTTTTAATATATGAATTTTGAAATAAATTTTAGAATGTGAGTGTTTTATTTTTAAAAAATATATCATTATAATTTATACAATAAATTATATATTTTTTCTTTTTAATGAGTTTTCTCTCTCTTTTTTTGTCCATTTTTCCTATTTTTTAATCAAAAAAACTTTAGAGAAAATTTTTAAAAAAAATTACAAATAAGTTTTTTAGCTAAGAATCCATTAGTTTTGATATTTTTTATACTATTAAAAAAATTTAGTTTATGGATAGAATAAATAAATAATATTTTTTAATTAAAAATTTATTAAAAATATGAAGAATAGTCGGTCAACTAAAAAATATTGATTAAAAAATTATAAAATTAAATAAATTTTTATTTATTTTTATTTGATATTTTTTGATAGATATATAATATAATATAAACTATCAAAATAAAAAAAATTATGTATTTTATCCTATTCGTAATATAACGTGAATAAAAAATTTAGTTTATCAGAAGAAAAATAATTTCAAAATATGACAAACTTAGTACGAAAACACCTTATTGATGTGGAAAAAACCAGAAATACAAAGTTAATCCACGGTCATTTTCCTTTCTTTTGCTTTTTCTCTTTACTTTTGCTTTATTTTGTCAATTTGTCAAAACTTGGTGGGATAAGTGATCAATTTTCAGAGACGCATGCATCCAAATGATACTCGAGTTACGAGGAATTCTGACCAGAATATTGATTTAAACTTTGAATGACCAGAATGAATGACCTTTTTTCCGTAAAATGAATTAAATAATATTTTTATTTGACAAATAATTAATTAATCTATTAACAAGTTATTTTTGTCTAATTCTTACCGCAATATATATACTTTTATAAAAAAAATTGAAGTTTACCGAAAAAAAAAAATTCGTTTGTTTTGCTCCCCGAGGTGGAGAAATACTTTGACTATAAATGGATGAAACTTTAGAGAAATAATTGATAAGAGGGACAGAGGAAGAAACTGACATATCCAGATACTTAACTCCTTAAGAAACGTCCCACCACATAATTTTCTTTTCTTTTGCTTTGGCTTCGTCGAAACTTGGTGGAAGGTGCAAGGAAGTGGAATATGACATCAGTTCTAGTACGTGCTTAACTCTAAAGCATGACGCTTCACTTCCAAAAAGCCCTACACAACAGCGCTTTTTTCTTCTATATAGTGTCAGTTGCTGAGAAACACTAAGACATAGGAACTCATTTTAGAGCAGGATTTAAAACACTGAGTAGTAATAGCATTGACGATAAAAATGTCAGACGGAAACAACGGAGCTACTGGAACAGTTACTGCATGCAGTGGCAGCGGCAGCGGCGGCGGCAGCAGGGATCGGTCTCCTGCTGTTTGGCTCTTTTTCTAAGGCGAATGAAGGTAAAACAATGAAAGCACCAGGGCAGGATCATCGCATACTAAGGAAAGGATTTGAGGAAAATCCTGCTGCCTATTTCACGGAGTTGCACAGGAAGAAGTAGAAGATATCGATCCCAAGCCTCCAATATGGCGTTTTCCACCACCTTTTCTTCTTCTCTTCATCAACCCTACTTTAATTTCTCCTTTTCTTTTGGTTTCAAAAACTTTCATGTGTTTTAATATATGCTTTGGGGGCTTAATAATTATGCTGTATGGGGTGAGCTTGTATGAACTTAAATATCTCAATGTCTATTACATTTCCATTTCATCACTTTATTATCTTGGCGTAATTTCATTAAAATATACAAAATCAATGTTGTGATCCCTAAAAATTAAGGATGGATCTTATGAGCTTGGCTTATCATTAGCTTAATATACTGATATGAACTTTTTTTTTGTAATATACTAATATGAACAATTTTGTAGAGTAATTCGAGGAAATTAATTGAGTCTTCTCATTAGGATATGGGCGACGTTTTATTTATTTATTTATTTTTATTTTTATTTTTTTGTCTAATTCAAATGTAGAGGAAATTTCGGTAAAATCATTATATTTTTCATAATATCTGAGAACGTAATTGTGATTTACATAAAAATTTTGTATTATTTTATTGCCTATTATGTACTTAGCTCTCGAGGGTGTAGCTCGAAAAATAATAAGAATTTGTTAATAACAAAATTTTTTTTTAATTTTTGTATTCAACAAAGGTTGTTTTTGAAAATTAATTAATTGAATAAGGAAATTGTTAGTGAACAAATACTTGAAGTCCATTTCTTACTTGATTAGATTCTGATTATTAATTTTTCATTATGGTCCATTTCTTCTCCATTATTTGGGCTTGTTGTCTAATGACTTGGAAACTTCATACGAAGACTCCCTACTCATTTTTCCTTCCTTAGTACAAATGCATTAATTTTTTTATTTTTTTTTTAACTCACACATTCAAAATTTCAATCTCTAACCTCTTGTTTGGTCACATGCACTAACTTCTACTCTACGGTGAAGGCCACATCTCTCTCCATATGTTCGATGAGTATCGGCCTAAGATGTACCCTAGCTTTGACTTTGTAAACTCTGCATGTAATTTCCTAACTCTTTGATAGATGACCCTGCAATAATTCGTAGACTTCGGGCCCGTTGATTCCCTTTCGAATTGAATGACGATGGACCCCAAGATTGTACATGGTAGATAAGTCGAGGATCATATATATATATATATTGTGTAAATGCAGCCCTTCTTTTTCTACTCATCCTATCTACCCACCATAGATATATAGTTGCAGTGCTAGAAAGAACAATAATAATTAATGCACCCCTTCTTCTTGGAGAAAAAATGTCGATAGCTCACCAAGTGACATTCTCGGGTGGTGGAGAGACCAGCGTCATATTTCTTGAAGTCATCCTTCCGTAGAGAGAAGGCTGATAAGGACTATGTAGAGTAGTGCTATTCATGTTTAAAACAGAAGCTGGCTGATAATCTTTCTTAGGTTAATGCCTTGTCCTATTAGAAGTAAGCTCAAATTTAAGTCAATTTCTAGAATATACGTAATTTTGTAGAGGAATTTGAGGAAATTAATTGAATCTCTCGTTAAATTATGGGCAACATATGAGCCTTGATAGGTTCTTAGTACCCTATAGAGCCTGAATTGGCAATTCAAACTGTGATTTTTCTATTTGTAAGAGGTTGAAGAATTAGAATGTTGGACCAAAAAGCATTTAAACAAAAAAAGTAAAGATTAGTTATAAAAAAAAATCTCTATTTTACCAATAAATTTTTGATCTAATGATAAACGAATTGGTTCAATATGAATTTTTAACCAATAGATAGGATTTAAATTTTAAAATTATACTCGTTGAAAGTAATTAAATTTTATCACTATCGTTCTGAATAAAATTAGTCTTATTCTTAAAATAAGATGAGAATATCTAGATTAAAAAAAAATCTATGTCGTTTATAATATTTTTTTCCTTAAAAAAAAAAACACAAAACTAGCTTTTAAAGAGACCAACACGTAAAAATTAATAACTTTCGTACATAATCAAATTCTTCAGATTGATGTTTTCTGTCGGTTTACACGTTTGCTAGCGGAAAGAATATGTAAGAATCTTTACGTGAAAAGAGTTTGGAAAGACAGCCAACTTAGACTCCGAAGGTTTGGAAATTTATCATTTCGGTCCTTGTATTTTGAATTTATAAGAAATATCTGATGATCCTAGGCTCATATATTCATTTGAGGAATTTCTATAACTTTAAAAAGTCAATTAAAATAATTTTTTTTATTTGGACCCAATTGGAAATGGGTGGATAATTTGAAATTAATCTAAGGTTTTTCCAAATAATCCATCATGTGGTGCCCGTCAGCCAAGTGTGTGTGTGTGTGAGACGGAGAGACAGGGAGGGAGTCATTGCTTTTTCTTTATTCATTTGTCTTCCTCTTCTTCTTCTTTCCATCCTCCGAAGCTTCATCCTTTCTATTGGTTAATGTTATTCTATAATAAATTATTTATCATTAGTATATGAAGCATAAACAAAAACAAAAAAAAAAAGAAAAGAAAGATAACTGTATAATTTGTTTTTTTATATATATAAAAAAACAAATCAATGCTTGACTTGTAAGTTGAATCGTTCCATTTTGACAAATTTGGCTGAGTTTGGCTATGTGTCTTACGTATTTGATTTTTGTAATAAATCCAGATAGATTAGGTGGGTAGATTACAAGATTTCAAATCAAACTTGTCTATTTAATCCGAGCCTAAATAACAATGCTATTAGTATTTTATTTTATTTATTTATTACATAAAACCCTATCTTATATGTTCCAATGGGTTGTCTAAATCCTACTACTAAGAATAATGAGCACTATCAAAAAAAAAAAAACTGAATTATCAGTATCAATTCTGGAAAAAAAAAATTGGAGAACAAATAATTATAGGAAATAAAGTTTGAGTATTTCGGGTAATACGAAAATATTTTAGTCGTCCGAATTATATTTTTTATTTTCTTATTTTAAAGATTTTAAAACTAATGAAATTGTAATTTTTCTTAAACCTAATTTTTTTTCTAGTCAAAACCTTCTTTTGTCCTCGTTTTAACTAGTTATTGCAATATTATTTTTGATATTTTAGGTAAATAAATAATAAATAATAAGCTAAGGAGTAAAAAATTCAAGTAATTCAAAATACAAGTTTTCGATCAAATAAAACTAATTCAAATAAATAAATAAATTTTCAAATCAGATAATGAAATAATACTATCCCAAATCATAATTTCTAACACAAATTATCCTAATGTTCAACCCTTCCTTTTAGGCTCCGTTTGTTTGGCGAAAAATAATTTTCAATAGGAAAATCAATTATGAGAAAGCTATTTTTCAGAAAGTTGTTTTCTAAAAAAATATTTTTCGATATTTGGCAGTTAAATAAAAAAATTATTGAAAAATATTTTTCAGCGTTTGTTTGATACAAAAAATGAAAATATGAAAACGAGAATGTAGTTGTTATATGAAAAAATTTTGACAAAATTTTAATTAGGCATATTGACAATCTTATAAACTTAAACTAATAAATAATGATGTGATATTTTGTAGAATTAATTTCAACAAGACATACAAAAATTATTTGAACTTGTCTTTAACATGTTCCTATCAATATTTATTAGTAGAATTAATTTTTTTTTTTTTTTAGAATGAGAAAAAAATAAAGTTAATCTTGTTAAATTTTTTATCTTAAAATTTATAAATTTAAACTAATAAATAATAATGTGATATTTTAGAATTGAAATAACATTACTCGTAAAACATAAAAAAATATAGTAAAATTATAATAAAAAACTTGGTTGGGTAAATAAAATACAAGAAGGCAAGGAGGATGGATATTTCCAAATTTTGCCGGAGGAGTGCCTAGCCCTCGTCATCTCCTTCACATCGCCGCAGGATGCGTGCCGATCTACACTGGTCTCTCATAACTTCCAATCAGCTGTAGATTCTGATGCTGTGTGGAAAAGATTTCTACTGTCCAATTATCTCGAGGTCATATCCAGCACTACAGCCTCATCATACTCACAGCTAACTTCTTTATCCAAGAAGGAACTTTTTATTTCCATCTTTGTAATAACCTCATCCTTATCAACAATGGTATGATGGTAAGGAAGATTTTACTTTATCCAAGAAGGAACTTTATTTGAATTTTTTTCCTCTCCTGTTTCCTCTGATGATTTTAGATATTCCATGGTTTTCTTTTTCCCCTTACTTGAAACACTACTTGTCAAGGAGATGTCGAGGAGATCACCGTTCTTTTGCTGCGGTGGCGTTGGGTGGCGAGGGCGTCCTTGGGTTGCTTCAGGCGTTGGGTGGGTTTGATTGAGAACGGGACTGCAGCTCTGGCAAATGAAAAATGTTTTCCCTTTTTTTTATTTTTTTCGGGAAGTCAGTTTCCCAAAGTTTACCTTTAAATTTTCCTTGACTGGAAAATTATTTTCTTTGATTTTTTTTTTTAAATAGCCAAACAAACATGAAAAAAAAAAAAATTCTAAAAACTTATTTTTCCTGAAACAAACCCAACCTTAAAGAAAAAAATTATCCTAATAGAAAGAATTATATTAAAATTATTAAAATTATTTTATTTTTAATATAAAAAATACTTTTTATATACCATACCTCAATCATAGAAATTTATTATCTAAACTTTAGGTGATTGATTAGATACATTAACTACAGAATAATACTGAATATTGCATAAATCCTTATGTATTCTGGCAAGGAAAATATATAGTGAATTCTTTCATATTCTTTCACCTTCCCTGCCTTAATAATGAACCAAAGACAAAAGATTTTCCCATCCCATAATTATTTCCTCTTCTTTTGCTTTCTTTCTTTACTTTTGCTTTGTTTCTATCAAAACTTGGTGGGGTGGAACATGACGTCAATTCAAAGAGATGCTTACCTCTAAAAATGACGCTCTACTTCCCAAAGCTCACTACATAAACACCATAGTTTCTTGGTTCTTCCTTGCCCAGAAACTCCCCTCCCATCATTTCTAAACAAATCGCAGCCTACCTCTTAAGCAATGGATCCACCACCTTCTCTTTCCAATGTTTTCCATGACCTTTCTGATACTATAAAGAAATTTCTGGCTTCTAATGCAGTGTCTGATTTCATCCATATGATTTCAGATCTGATAAAGAAAATTTTGGCTTCTGATGCAGTGGTTTCTGTGGTCAAATGGTGTAAGAAAGAAAAAACCCTTCTTACAGTTGTTGCAGTGGCAATTATAGGTCTCCTGATGCTTTGTTGCTGCTGCAAATGCCTTACGAAGAAGACGAGGATTTCAGGTAAAACAATGAAAGCACCAGGGCAGGATTTTCGTATGTTAAGGAATGATTTTGAAGCAAGTCCTTCTGCCTATTTTAGGAACTTGCGCAGCAAGTAGAAGATATCATCGGTCTCAAGCCTAGCTCCAATACTGGAGCAGACCCTTTTCTCTTCTTCTCTTCATCCACCCTACTCTAATTTCTCTTTTCGTGTGCTTTCAAAAACTTTGATCTGTATTATATATGCTTGTATGGGCTACAGCTAGCCTGAGGTGAGCTTGTATGAACTTAAATATTTCAGTATTGAAGGTGGTCTTCATGATCAACCACTTCCATTTCATCGATTTATAAATATTACGTTTGTTGCAAGAATATTGATGGGTTTTGCATCAAGAACACGAATGACAGAAAGTAAGGAAGGAAGAGATATACAACTCCATTGTATCCACATGTCCAATTAATAAACCTTTTCTTGAATGAAGAATATCTTCTCTGTTTTTTTTTTTTTTTTTAATGATAGAATGTATAATATATACTAGATATATCTAATCCAATTTAAGGGTCAGATATGAAGGGAGTTTCTGTTAATTTTTCAAAAAACAATTCTATGGTTCATGTGATTTAAGATTGTTGTAATTTACTCAAAATTTTATTATTTTATTGCCTAATATGTAGCTATATAGCTTAATAAATTATTAAAAAAAAATTGATTGGCTGTTATATTCTTAATACAATATTAACTTTATGAAACATCAAAATTTATCCCACTTCTAATTAAAGAGAGAGAAAAAAAACCAAAATTAAAGAAATTTTTTAAAAATAAATTATTAAAACCTAAAAATTTGGTTAATTCATTTTTCGATTTATTGACCACATGAACCTAAATTAACAACATCTTAAGACAATACTAAGATCATAATACACTATCAATATTAATAAGGAAAATCAATCTATTTTTAATCTCTAATTAAGAAAAAGATCAATAATTGTAAAAAATTAAAATTAAAAAAATACCTTTCGCATTGAGGTCCTAAATCGCTACAAACTGTATTTTGATAATGAGATTGCGATACGATGATGATAATAATAAATTCATCTTTGTAATGATTTCTCATAGCATTGCTCCACTTCTAAGTTTATTAATTGATTATAGAAAAAGGCCCTACACTGCTAGGAATGAATAGTTTGATTTTGTCGTTTAGTTTTTAAAAGAAATAAATAAATCCATTTTCATACCTCTCCTCCTCAAAGATGAACCCTAAGAAATAATAAACAAATTAGGATGGATGGATCATGCGGGGTCCCATCAAATGATTTTCTTTTACTTTTGCTTTGTTTGCTCAAAAAGTTGGTGGGAGTGGGACTTGACATCAGGATTAAGAAATGACTTCCCGTTTCTCTGTCTCTGATCAAAGATACAGAGCCTGGTGGCTGCCTATTTTGACGGTGGAGAGAAGTCTGCTTAATTGTATAGCTCGTTGCTCTGTTCTTAACTTTTTGTTCTTTATATTGCTTTTTTTTATTATTATTATTCATCGTGTCTTTATATTTGAGAAAATTATATTTTCAGTACATTAATTTTAGATTTTTTTAATTAAATACATCAATTTTTATTTTTTATTTTAATATATTAATTTTTAAAAAAATCTTAATCAAGTGTTTTCATCAAATTACCATCAATTGATAACACGACAGTTAATTAGAAAGAAAAAAAATATTTTTTTAGCTTTATTTTTTCTTTTCACTCCAAATGTTTGTCACAATTTGTTTCGTTTCCCTTTCTTCCTTCTTCTTCTTCTTTTTTCTTCTCTTTCCTATTGATCATTGCACCAACATTGAAAATTGCAAGAAGAGACAGCAAAAGAGCTGTCCAGTCACAAACCCTGCAACAGTCACCAAAAACACTGAATACCTAAAAATATCCAGATATAAGAATCAATTTTAAGCAAGCGACAAAACAAATGTCTCTTACCATCCAGCACAAGCCAAGAAAAGATTTTACCCTAAATCTTCCCTTCCTTTAGCAAAGTTGTACAAATAAGTGTACATTATGACAATTGGTTCTGCAATTCCTAATATTAAAAGAGGTTGCCCACCAAGGATCGAGTGTGTGATGCCACAAATAGCAGTAGAAGCTAATGTTTCTACTATGCTTAAGCTTCCATCTACAAACAGTAAATTGTGAAAGTTTCATTATTTTTCTGTCCTTAAATACAACTATAGACCTGTGATGAAGACACAAAAGTGCAGCAAATAGTTCAAAGAGAGTTGATTGATAAAAAATCAAATATAGCCTTAAGATTTCATTTTAATGGTCTATTTTTATGCACCAAGTCGCAATAGATTAGATTCTGCAATTTATGAGTGCTTGTGCTTCTCAGGATTACCATTTCCTTTCCTGATCTTCCACTTTCTAAAGAAAACAAAAGGGAATTACTACAATTTCTACAAATCTGAATATCTACCTTTTACATGGTTATACTTTTCTTAAGAAAAGTCACTAGGGTAATAACATGGAGAGGAGGGGAATGAGCAACAACCTGTATCTGTACTAAGTTGCTCATCGAAGGCAATAACAGGAAGGGCTGAAGCGAAGAAGACGTATGTAGTTGGTGCTAGTATGCTGTCAGAAAAGTTAGAAAGAAAAATGTCCATGAAATGAAAAATCTTTTAACAGAGTTCGAATGAAAGGAAAAAACAAGGTTAAAAAAATAATTTCATCTCCCTAGTTAACCGTCACGTTAGCAATTGATGGTAATTTGGACGAAAAACTTTGATTGAAAATTTTAAAAAAATTGATAAGCTAAAACGAAAAAAATTAAAATTTATATATTTAATTGAAAAAATATATAAAGTTAATATACTGAAAAAGTAATTATTTCTTTTCTTTTTTTTTAATATTTTTGTAACATGTTCTCTCTCTTGTGGAATTCCATTCAATTTCCAAATAATTAGTGATAGGTGGCATTTTACATCAAATAAAAGTGTTATCCACAATGATACGAAATACGGAATTGACAGGTGAAAAAAATAATAAATAATGTTTTTCATATCTTAATTTTTTAAAAAAATTTTTATAGGTTTTTTTTTTCACTAGTCAAATTTATCTGATTTTATAGTATATTTGTTATTTGTTATAGGAAAAAACAAAGTCAAAAAAATAATTTCGTTTTTTCAGTTAACTATCACATAAGTAATATATTGATGGTAATTTAGATGAAAAAATTTAATTGAAAGTTTTAAAAAAATTAATATACTAAAAAAAATAAATAAAAATTTATACATTCAATTGAGCAAAGTTATAAAGTTGATATATATATAAAAAAAAACTAATTATCTCCTTTATATTTTAGATATTTTTGTAACGTGCTCTCTTTCTCTCTCCATTGGAATTCCATTCAATTACCAAATAATTAGTGATAGGTGGCATTTTACATCAAATAAAAGTGTTATCCACAATGATACGTAATATGGAATTGACACGCAACAAAGATAATAATTAATGTTTTCCATATCTTAATTTGTTTTTAAAATTTTTTTAGGTATTTTTTTTTCACTTGTCAAATTTATCTTATTTTACAGTATATTTGTCATTTGTTACAGGAAAAAACAAAATAAAAAAAATAATTCCATCTTCCCAATTAACTACCACGTAAATAATTGATGGTAATTTGATTGAAAAATTTAAAAAACTGATATATTAAAAAAACAATTATACACTCAATTGAGAAAAGTTATAAAGTTGATATAAAAAGTAATTATCTCCTTTTTATTTTAGATATTTTTGTAACGTGCTCTCTCCCTAGTTGAATTCCATTCAACTACCAAATAATTAGGGATAGGTGGCATTTTACATCAAATAAAAGTGTTATCCACAATGATACGTAATATGGAATTGACACGCAACAAAAATAATAATTAATGTTTTTCATATCTTGATTTTTTTAAAAAAAATTTTTTAATATTTTTGAATTTTTTCACTTGTCAAATTTATCTTATTTTACAGTATATTTGACATTTGTTACAGGAAATTAACTGAAATTATATCAGAATGGTCATGTTAAAAAAATTTTAAAATAAAAAAAAATGATAAATAAAACAATAACGTTAGAAAAATATCAAAAAATGAAATATGCTAATACTAATGTCTGGGAAGTATATTGATTTCTAGCGAAAATGAAGTGGGTCACTAGGAGTTAGGGGCGTTAGGGCTTTTATTGGGCATATAAATCTTCATAATCGGGCAGGCTGTCCAGCCCATTGGACAAAATCCAAAGCCCAAGACGGACCCGATTAGTGATGGGGTCGGCTGAAAAATGTTCACTCAAGTCCGTTCATTTTCCACCTAGCTCAGAGCAGCCCATCAGATCGTTCGGCCATGAACAAGTCTAACGGCCCATCAGATTGATCTTGTGTTTGATATTTTTTACAAGATTAAAAAAAAGAGCATAAAATGCTTTATATTACTTTGTATGCAATGGCTTTTCCCTACTTTATTTAGTATTTTTTTTTGGAAGAAAATTTTCCAATAAAAGAAAAATTCACACTATATATATATATATATAGACACACTAAAACAATTTTATTTTCAAGTTACCAAAAAACTATATACAATAAATTATAGGGTTATCTTATTCAACTAATTTTGTTTAATATTGATTTAATAATATGATAATATAGAAAATACAAAGAGTTTTAAAAAAATCATGTATATGAATTAATTGGTAAATAAAATCGTATGAAAAAAAATGAAAAATACAAAAAAATTTATGATATATTTTATTGTTTGTATACGATGAATAACAAACATAAAAATGAAAAAATCAACAGATACTATTAAAAAAAAAACTCTTAATTTTTTATTAACAAAATAAAGCTCATAATTTATCTAGATTAATATTAAAGACTGCATTATATATTATGATTAATTGTTAATTTTATTGTTCACGAACCACTCACTTGAACTGTTAACTCCTTACTTCGGCTTAGTAAAATATGGACCTTGGCCCAGATAAAACTCCAAACAGGCTGCCTAAGATGTTTAGGAGATAGCCCAAAAGAATGCAAGATCCTTCGGGCCGATCCAGATACAAGAATAGCCCAAAAAAGTAAATATCTGTGGTTTATAAAGGGCGATTGCTCTATTTGGGTCCATGACCCACGGATGTTAGGACATCATATGGGTTAACCTTAACCTTTCTATGATTTTTCTTCGTTTTTCTCCCCAATAAGAATGCATAGTAACTTAATCACTAAAGGGATATTTTAGTTATTCTCTCTGTTTCAAAAATATTATAATTTTTTCTATTTTTACTTGTTCCAAAATAATTGTTTCGTCAAAATATTTAAATTATGTATTTTACTACAATAACTCTAATTAAAACACATTTTTGAGTAAAAAGGAGGTATTTTTGAAATGTATGGATAAAAAATAAAAATATGACATATTAATTAATAATATTCTTATTATTATTATTTTTTTTTGTTCCTTTAGGGTATTCTAGACTCAAAGATCTAGACTAATCCATCACTAGATGGGAATAGTTACTTAGATAGTTTATTACATAGATAAGGACTCAAATCCAAGATCATTTGCTTAAGTGATTAGCGTCTGTTTCACTCAAATTAACTTTGATAGAGATAATTATCCAAAGAATTTTTTGCATATATGAAGACTTAAACTTGAGATTACTTGTTTAAGTAAATAGAGTTCATTTCACTCGGACAAACCCTTTAAATAATATATATATGTGCGTGTGAAAATTTAGACAATTTTTTTCGAAGAGAGAAAGTATAAACTAAGTGTAGCTGTTAATTAAGTGAAGTTATCAGATTATAAATTTAATTCTATGTGAAATCTCTAGAAGATTGTTTTTTGGCTGTGCAAAACAGGTTTGAGCATCCTTAATCACTCGAAATCATAAATAATTAATTAATGTATAGGAATTCTCATAATCATATTTTGGCATCAAAATCTATTAGGAGTAGTCAACCACTCATAAATGCAAAATCAGTGAAAAATTAATATCATTTCTGTCAGTTTTTGAAGGTGATGAACACTATAGTTTAACTTGACCAAATTAAATTAATTGTTCAAACTTTGAAATGCTTCTTTTAAATAAACCACATGGGTCCATACACGTACTCTTATATCAATATATAAGATTCCTTTCTTGCTTCAGAAATGACATTTTGATTCATCACTCCACATGTAATGCCTAGAGAGCATACCACATACACTTACACTAGCTAATAATTTTTAATTGTAATTAAATAGATTGTTTTCTTTGATTTTCCACTCATGTTATTAATTAATTGGATTTGAATATCTTTTTACAAAATAAAATTTAATTAACGATAATTTAGAAAAAAATACTACTAAATTCAACCAAATTATTATTTTCAATATTTTTTATACAATTACTAATATATCCTTCACTAATTATCAATAGCTATTATATAACACATTAGAAGAAGGTGTATTGATAATTTTTTGAAAAAATTTATTGATGAGAATAATAATTTGATTGGTAAATTTAGCAGTATCATTCAAAAAAATATACTATTTTAAATTTTGACCAAAAAAAATATTTTATATAAATAGAAAGATAGACAATTTTTTTGGGATAGAGAGTTTTTTTTTTTTTTTTTTCCTCCCTCCTTTGAGAAGAAGAAGAAAGAAAGAAAAGGAAGGAAAGAGATTTCAAATTTTTATTGGTGGTATTCATGTTGAAGAACAAAGTAATTGGATGCGAATATTTGAAGCAACCATGACGTGAAACCAAATTATCACTGTTGAATGCTATACATTTTATATATATATATATATATATATATATATATATATATATATTTAGGGTTAGGCATTGAAATTGATGTTAGGCATCGTATGTATACGCTTTCTTCGTGGTTTTGTTTGTATTATAATCTAAAAAACTATTCCTTGCTTATTCTACTCAATCAAATGAGCTCCACACGCCAAGAAAACCTCATTTCTCAAATCAAATCTTGTTGCCATTTTGATAGGGACAAATTAAGTTGACTCCAACTCTAAATATTTCATTAATTCTTAGAATCACAATCATTAAATATATTCACTGTTTCCGAGTAGACATCTGATAATTAGTTAATTAAAACTCAGAATTTTGCATCAGAAAATTAATTTCAGGTTCAAATGAAAGAGATGGAGAAGGGATTTAGGGATTGAATTTCAATATATTATGTGTAATCCAAAAAGATTTTAGAGATTGATTATCTATAGGTTTTTAGTTTAGTGATAACGAGTTGGGTTTAAATATGTTTTTTTAAAAAATATTTGAATTTAAAGAACTCTCATTATAAGGAAAAAAAACTAGAATAATATCTCATCTTTATAATAATGACCGATTTGGTCCGTCGGCTTCTCTTATCTCCCTAACTATTGACACTAGCTTCTTCATCTTTATAATGACGATCAATTCAGTCTGTTATTTCTTTTTTGAAAAATCTCCTAACCACTAACATTAACTCACTTATCTTTGTAATGATGATTAATAAACTTTTCTTTTATGATAATGGCTAATTCAGTTTTTCATCCTCTTCTAACTGCGAATACTAACTGCTAATTACTAACTTCCTGGCTCTATGTCTAACCACTAATTGTGGAAGTCCTATCTATGAAAATAATAATAATAATAATAATGCTGATTTAGGAGGAGTATATAATTACTCAAAGAAGTGACAAAATTAAAGAACGTGTCAATCAATCACCCTATGCCCCATGTATAGTTTGTGACCGACATAAGCACGTTGTGATGATATAGCTATATAAAACTGCTTCTTGCACTCGAAGTGAATTGAGGTCACCGTGAGGTGGGAATTCATCATAAAAATATCCAACGTATGAACTCAACAAGACAAGGAGCCATGGGAACTGCCAGTATCCAAATGCAAATTCATTCATCAAATTAAAAATAATGGTTTGGTGAACAAAGAACAAAAATGAAATGGGGATCGGTCCTTTCCATTGTTATTATTTGTTTATTTATTGGAGAATGCATGGAAAAATGTTGCTAAGAACTTTGAAAACAATCTGTATTATTCTCTTAATCAATATGCATGCAAACAATACATACATACATACATACATACGTGTGTATATTTATATATATAGACAGGGTACCAGTTTCTTCTTAATTAGAAAACGATATAGACAAGTCACATATTTCAACATTAATACTCCATTTTGGCTTAATGCATGTTAAAACTCGAATTCGATCCCATTGCATATATGTTTCCAGACTAATATAATTTTTTGTTTTTTCCAGACTAAAATAACACCACTTGATTAATTAGTTGTGGACAAAACAAGTTGAAAGGTGAAGCCATGAAACCAACCATTCAAAAAAAAAAAAAAAAAAATTCTCATTTTCTTAGAATAGATACAAGAAAAAATTAATATACAAAGGTAGAATTGGTCAATCACCCCATGTTTTTAAGTCTTTCTGATGGAATTTGATGAGGTTATGGATCATCAATTGTATGAATGGTTGGATGAATGTTTTTTTTTTTTTTTTTGATCGTGTGATGAAGATTTTTCTTAGTCTTGAAGTCCTAAGATGAGTATCTGAAAAATAAAGTCCTCTTTTTAGGCGTTGAAAGATCCTTTAATAACTAAATTAGCATTTAGAGATAAGTTTTTAATATGTTAGGCTTAATAGCATATTTTTTTTAGAATATTTTGCCTGATTAGATTTATTAGTGTGCTCTTAGCTGTGTATGGAGAAAATTTATGGTACTGGGTTTATGTTTTATGAAATGTGTAGAAGACAAAATCTCTTAATGTTCTACTTATTAACCTCTTTGTAGAAAGTCTGTCATTGAGGTGGATGTATTTCCTTGACGGAACTAGTAGTGGTTTATTAGCAATTATTTGCTATAGAGGTTTCTTGTGATGTGTGAAGGGGTGTGTCTTCCTCGAACAGTTTGCTCTTTCTCTCGTGTTCAGTGGAGTATGATGTCTATGGTAACGAGAAGTTATCCCGATAATAGTATAAGGGATTTTTTTCGTGGATTTCATGTTGGGTCGGGTCTTTCAATAAAGGTCGGGTTTAATTTTTTTCGTTTCAAAAAGATTGTTTAAATTTCTGTTTATTTGATATTGTCTATTTTCTATTTATATATGTTTTTAAAATATTTGCATGGTTAAAAAAAAAAACTTCTTAATCGATGTGAAAAGTGAACGATCCTTTGAGAAAAAGTAAATATTTATTGCAAAGTGATTGAATGAATACATGTAAATTGGAATAAATGTGATCTCTTATCCACAAATTACCAAAAGTCAATATTAATGGCAGATTGTATGGAATTGATAAAGACATTTGATAAAGGAAACAAACGAGGCATGCAGTAAACTATGGCTATTAGAATTTAATGTTGGATCACGTCTTTAATTTACATGGGAAGAATCACAACCCCACCACACCTTTTGTCTCCCCCACGTCCCATAAACAAGATTTTCAGTTCCTTCAATGGCACAGACAAACATGTGCACGCATGAACTTGAAGATTCAGTCAAAGGCAAAGCCTATTCAATCACCACAAGTGCAACCAAGATTCAAATCATGACGATGAGAAATTGTAATTAATGTCAACAGTCAGCACCGTAGGAACAATGTCCACAGTAAAAAGACCTAATTAACTTCCATTTCTTGCCAATAATTTTCCATTATTGGTCCAATTATATACCGAAATCAATTTTTTTATTATTATTATTATTTGCCTATGGAGGACACTGTTTTATGAATATGACTTTAATTGAGCTTAATTATTTTTCTTTTCAAATGGGTTTTCGATGCCATGAACAGAAATTTTTTTTTTTCTAAAAATATATGATGACGAAGAAGATAAGGTTTAAGGGTCATCATATTAACGAAAATGAAAGGAAAATGTGACAGCGGAAATATATACCAGGCAGCAGACAACAAAAACCCTATTACACATACATGATGAACAAGAAATTTTCAAGCATGAGAAGATATTAGAAAAAGGCAACAATGTCATTAATTAGAGCTGAAATGAGAAATTCAAGTCCTTGAAATAATTAACTTTTAACTAGGGTTTTAATTTCATGCCCCGAGTTATGATGTCTTTCTCTCCCCATGATTCCTCAATATAACAAGTTACAATCCAAAAATATTAGACAACCTTGCTACTCTATTACACATCATTATTATACCAAACGCAATGGAAAATGTAGAAAAATTGACTATGGTCTATAATAAAATTAATCAAAGTATGGGACATTATCACTACAAATAGCGCTATAACCTGATGTGCTAGTTGGTGGAGTATATAGAGAAGAAGTGGAAGATGAAGATGAAGAAACAACAATAGAAGGAAGTGGTTGAGGTGATGGTTGTGGTGGTGGTGGAGTAAGAGTTTGTGATGGTGCCGAAATCGATACGGTCACAGAAGAAACTAAAGCAGGATGAGTAGAAGAAATGATGTTAGTAGCAGCAGCTTCTCTATATTTGTAGTTGAGTATCTCAGCCTTTATTGCACTTAGTTCACCTTGTAACGATTGAATTTGTTGTTGTAAAGCTGAAATTGCACCCATGGAGCCATACACTGGATCTCTTAGCCTCAAGTTTGCTTCATAAACTAGACTATTTGCTGCATCAGCTCTTTGACTTTCTGGCACCTCCTAGATAACCACAAAACCAAAGAAAATTTAGAGATTCAAAAACTCCCTTGATTCACCAAGAACAAAAACAAGACTGTCTAAAACATTTATAAAAAAATATGGGACAAAAACGGATTATTTAGTTGAGGGTTTGGAGGCTTAATTACCATTAGCAACTTGGAGACATTGCTTGCTCCAAAGACTTTGTGAACAGCAGCAAATTTCTGGGGTTCATGTGGAGAAAAATATGGAGAAAAAGGGCACTCTTCAGCACATCTTCTCCTTAAAAGTTTACAGGCAGCACAAGGTGTAACAGTGTTCAAGATTCCAGGAGTTCCTAACATTTGTCTCCTTCCCATTAGAGAAGATGCATCAGCACTCTCCCTCTTGATCCTCTTTCCTATCTCTTCAAATCTCTCCCTAAAACAAAAACAAGAAAATCAAGCAAAAAATATGAGGTTTCAACAAAATACAGTATGTTTGTTTTCCTTATCAAAATTTCAAAGCAAACAAATTAGAGAAGAAGTCAAGAAGAGTTCTTAATATTTAATAGGCTAGAAGAAGCTAGGGTTTTAGCCCTTTTTTGGAGAGGATGTAGATCTTATTCAATTCTTTTGTGGGTGATTCATTCTTACCTGTCTCTGGACATTCAAGCATGCTAGTTGGCTGTCTAGGTAGATCAAAGGGAGAGGTGTGGAGAGAACTAAAGGACAGTTTCGAAATAGAGGAGAAAGAAGAAATAACAATAGGGAAAAGAGTGCTTAAAAGGCAAGGTAATCACAAAAGTAGGTCAATACATGTTTTTTAAGAAAGAAAGAAACAAAATAGGTAGGAGAAAAATATATAGAAATATCAATTGAGAATGAAATTTTGTACTCATGCTGGTGATAAATATTAGTATATGTAGAAAAAGTTAATGTTCAAGGGGTTAGGTCATTGTAAGAAGAGTTGGAAAAGAAAAGAGAAAAGAATGCCAGCATTGACATTTGACAATGTGCTCACGTGTGATTTTTTGGTCTACTGACTTTGATAGCAACCAAATGGTTTTGATAATATTTAAATGTTGGGAGCTTTTTACTGTTTATTTCGTATTTCTGATTTTCTGAGTTTGGTTTTTTTTACAAGTTCATTTCTTTTTCTGCGGTATTTTTTCTGAACTTTCTAGAGATAGAACTGGTCTTGACTGATATACTAGCTGCAGGATACTCGAAACCCAAAAGTAATTAAGTTTAATTTTTCTTGTGGGATTTCAAGCAAGAACTAGCTAGCGTATTCATAAAAAAATTTCTTTCTGATAATTTTTTTCCTTAGATTTAAGTGGATGACGAAACTCATTAGCCATCCAAATCAACCCTTCAATAGTTAGAAATGGTAATTTAAAAGAGGATTACTGAAGGAAAAAAACATGAGTAGAAAAAGAAATTTCTAATGACAGATCAAAATACCAAAAAGCAATAGTGGAAATGACTAACCAGGAAATCATCTAAATGAATAGAATCACTGGTTGGGATTCACTTACAAGTTATACCCTCTTTGCATGACTAAAGATAGCCACCAAAACAGTAACGATATTGCTAGGGAGATTGAAGTAGTCCCGTCTTGTGTTTTGAGAATCGATAACATTTGAGGAATGAATGTGCGATTTGGTAAACCAGAAACAACAGTAAATCAAACACAGAGCTTGGAAATTGGTTGTTTTTTTAAAACACTTTCATGTTGTGAGCTTCTCTCTTATATATATATACATCAGTAGTAGAACTTAAATTGGATGAGAGACCCTTTAGCATTCGATCACTAATTAAGATCTGATCTCATCTTTATCTAATTTCTGTAGAGTCGTGAGGTTTTTTTTATAATCATAATGGTAACATTTATTGAACCACGGTTCATTGTATTACTTCAAACCTAGAGAAAATAAACACATGAAACACATGCACAATTCATCCTCGATGGCCATTGGCTATCAAGAAATTTTACAAATGAAGATCATTGGAGGGTATTTCAATATCGAGTTGAATTCTTATCTTTTGCGCAAGTATAAATTGATATATAGTTTTTACGATAAATATTCCTTGATTATATATATGGAAGGAAAGAATACAACTCCTTGTGATAAATGTTTGTATATGCTCGTTTTCTTCTTAAATTAAGTAATTTGATTAATTTGATTATATGTTAATTCATATCGTTGTGTTCTAAAGAACCCTACACAATATTTTTATTTCTTAAAACCGTGATTTTGAGTTTAAAATCCTGATTCAAACACTCTCAAGAGAATAAATTAGACATAGAAACTAGAAATTCTTCCATCTTAGAGACAATGCAAATAGACCCTTTATATCCGTACATATACTATGCTAATTAATATAGATAATAAATTGTGACATGGAATAATTAGTATTTGCCAACCATTAAATTGTTCCCCGAGTGTCATCCCAGCAGGTCAAAGTTAAATAAAATCTCAAGTTCAATTTTTTAAGGGTGAAAAAAAAGTTGGGAATTAGGAGAGGCCGGCCGGCTTTCCTTAGATTGTGTAGTCAAAAAAAAAAAAAAAAAGTAAAGTAAAATCACCGGTTTTGACTACAAGTAAATCGATCACATTTATTTTTACTTGTAGATTTATGTTGAACGGATGAATAAGTGGAAAGTTTTGCCATTTTAGGTAGTCTAGCATGTATATGTTGTATTTCTTTTTTCTTGATTGGTAATTTAATGGTTTCCGATCCAAAATAAATAAATCTTTTCATCGGTTTTGTATTGAAAAAGAAATAAATAAATAAATAAAATCATCGGTTTTGTATTGAAAAATACAAAATAGAGATTTAAACTCGAGACTTTGTAAAAAAAAAAAAAAAAAAAATCTTTTCATTTCATAATTTAATAGTTTTGTATTGAAAAAATAAATAGATATTGATGATATACCTTAAAAAGATTTAAATTTGAATTTTATGTTTCACTCTAAACAAAACATTATGTGTATATAAGGTTTTAGAGTTAGCATAATTATTAATCTTCATATATATTCTATGAACAAGGCCATAGATTAGGCAAAAACAAGGCAAGATAATAACTTGTGAATGTTAGAATCATGGTAGGTGAAGAAAACGAGGGAAACCTAAAAAATGGTATATTTTGGGAGATGGAAGGAAGGGAGAGGGGAAGGAGGGAGGGATCTAAAACTTGCTTAAAATGCAAGAGATTAAAGGACTATGAGTCCTTGTTTGACCCGTATTTTAAGGCTCACAAGTCGCACTCTTGTACTCCTCGATCTCCAACCTAATTTTTAATTTCACCATTACACATAAATACACCGACAAATTTCACCTTACTTCTTTCTTCTTCTTCTGCATATGGCTAGTGGCCACCCCCATGAAAATTAAACCCTAGAAGATGTCACCTTTCATGCGATAGTTAGCAATTAAAATTTAAAACCCATTAATTTCCAATTGCTGTGCATCAAACAAACATTCGTTTTTTTAGGTATCTAATGGTCAATAGAGGAGGCCAAGATCAAATCAGTAAGCAGCTAGCACATGGTTTTTCCTGTGAAAAATAATGGCTTTACTTTTTCTCTATCGAGAAGTTTGGTATGGAGAAGGAGAAGCATATAAGTAATGAGTTGGCAATATATATAGCAAAGATGTATAGTGGATGTACAGTAAAAATTGTTAAGGAATATTTGGTGCAGAAAGAGTTCTTGGTGTACAAGGAATTTTTAGTGGATAAAAATAGTTAGTCATTACTCCATTCTTTGTGTACAAGGAATTTTTAGTGGAATTTTATTTTTTAATATAAAAAATTAGTAAAACATATGGAAGGATTAATAAAAAATATTTTTTAAAAATAAAATAATATTAAATTAACTGCAGTTAATATCGATTAAAAGACTAATTAATTTGTTTTTGAAACAAGAGAGACAATTTAATTTTTTTTTTAAAAAAAGGACTAATTGATTTTGTCATCTCAAGGAATCTAGGGTTTTAAGGAATTAATTAGGATAATTTTAAATTTTAATCTAACTCTATAGTCTTAATTCAGAATCAACATTTTGCTCATTTTTTTCTTTACCAATAACAAAAATAAAAGCATATATATAACCAATTCTTTCACTGGCAATTACTATTATTTTATTATGGTTTTACACTAATCGAAACTAATTCTATTTTTGAATGATCTTAAAAACATATAATGGAAACCAATCCTTTCACGATTCAAACTATGAAAGGTAAATGAGAAAGCAAACTTCTTTAACCATCTTAATTTTTATTTTGAGTTTAATATAGAACAACTCTCCCAAGAAAAACAAAATCAATTAGTGTCCCTGGCCCATTACGTTCGTAGGCTTTTGGGTATGATGGATATTTGACTTTGGATCCTTTTTGGACTAAAGCCCATTTGATCTGAATATGCAATCCAATATGGGTTCACTAAATTATTTAAGGACCGTTACCGAGGCCCAAAGTAAAATTGAGGAAAAAAAAATTGAAAAAGCTTGCCGTTTTTTATTTTCGTTTTTATTTTTACAATTTTACTAGAATAACTATAGAAGGCAGAAGCCAAGCTACTGAAAATGCTTGCCATTTAGTACCCCAATAAATAATTATCCATCTTGAATGTTTATGTTGTTTGTGGTCTCAGATATTATAATTTGACTCATGCACAAAAATTATATTAGAAGTTTAAATTGTGTTTTGAAAAAATAAAAAATAAAACAAAAAAATAAATAATAAAAATTAAGTTTCTTTTATAATGAAGATGATAATATGTTATTCTCTATATGTGTTCTAAAAATATTGTTATGCTTGATTGTTCATACAATTTTTTTTTTTAAAAAAAATTTATTAATTATTCAATCATATCATTTTTATTTATTTACCGTTTTCCAAAATATTCTCGTTTTAATCATATATCTCTTAAAAAATGGATTTTAATTAGAGATATTGTAAATACATGCTTAATATTTCAACTAAAAAAAAATATTTTGAAACAAACAAAAAGAAAAATCTATTTATTATACGTACGAAGGAAGGGAATACAAGAAATTTCAAATTAGACAATGGCTTGGATGCCTTGGCATATCATGACTTATGCCTAATGCATGATGGCTTCAATGCTTGAGCAGAAAGCACCATTATGTTACATCACAATCTAATTAATTACTACTAAAGAAGTCTAATAGAAGTGCGTAATTTGCTCGGCCTTTCTTTGTTTTCTTAATTGTCTATTCCTTCTCAATGCCGAAAGGACAGTGATCAAGAAAACCTTAAATGAATAATTTAATTAATCTTATCGGCCAGGTCAAACTCTAGCCATTAGCCACCCTTGTGATTTAGACTTGCAGACAAGTTTCAGGAGCTATAATTAGCATAGGATTATATTAATCCAAGATCATTTATTGGGAGTTTGCATGGGACTTTCTTTTTTTGTAATAATCATATGTGTATTAATTACTGCACACTTCTTGATACAAAAATTAATACATTTTTGTAGGTGAAAATGTGGTCCTAGGCCTAGCTAGATCAACTATCTCATTCTGCCTTAATTCTACCAAAGTAATACAGTTTAGTTGGCTGAGCAGTTTCTATCATTTCATATCGGGATAAAATCGATTTTGAATGTCTGAACTTATATAATTTTTACAATTGAGTGTTTGATTTTTAATTTTATTTAAATATGTATCCAATTTTTTTACTTTGTGCGATAAAATGTTTAACTAAATACATATTATTTAAACATTGATATGTTCGTCAAGTGATGATATGTGGACTAACATGTAAGATAATATTTAGATCTAATTAACGTCATTAATGAAACGTTATAGTAAGTAAATGGGTGGGAAAATTCCCTCCAAAACCTAAAAATGTTTGCCTTCACAAAAATAAAACAACAAGAGCTTATTTGTTTTAAAACAACGTCATTTTAATATAATTTTAATAAAGGGAGTTAATCCTCAAGTAATGAGTAATATTTAATAAAAAGGAATTGGAATTTTTATTTTTATTTATTTATTTATTTTAGTTTGTAGACTGATTGAGAATCACGTGATATTTGGGTATAAATATATCATTTCTCTCTCAAAAAAAAAAAAAAAAAAAACAAACCTAATCGCCACCTAACTCTAAATATTATTTGCTTTGGAATTCAAGTCTTTAATTAGAGGAGATTTTTTAGGGTACGTTATGAATTATTAAGAGATGGCCGGCAAATGTAAGACTATCATTATTAGTGTAGAAGAATTGTTTGGTAATTGAATGAGAAACCATGTGGGCACGTGTTACGTCGATTTTTAAAGTGAAGATAATAATTGAATTTCTAATTAATGTTCAAGAAACTATATATAAATGAACGTACCATTTACATTATATTATTTTATATATAGCTAAATATAAATACAAATCAGAAGCTTCTAATTTCCACTTTCCCATTCCTAGCATACAAACAAGCAGTTTCCAGCCATGGAATTTCATGCAAATAAAATACAGGCATAAGAATTTTTTTATTAGACCAGAAAATATAATTTTATATCGACTTATATATCATTATCACAACGAATATCAAGTTGATTATGGTAATGTCCTAATCATTTTATTTACTCCTTTTGTCTTAAAAAGACTTTTTTTTATGAATATTAAAAAAATTAGTAATCGTTATATCATATCATTTTTTAATATTTTCTTAAAATATATTTTTTATATTGTATTTGGATAATTTTTTATAAAAATAGATTAGAGGTAATTTTTTAAAAAATAAGCCACTTAAAATTTTTACTATACAAATATTTTGAGATAAATATGAATATGAAAGTAAATATTTAAAAAAAAACCGAGAGAGTATATACTCTTTTTTTTTATCAGTATTCTTTTTCAATGAAAGAAGTCAACCTTTTATGGACGTTCACTGAGTTTTCTCTTGTCTTTATTTATTTATTTATTTGCTGCTCTTTAAACAATTCCAAAAATCTTGATTGGCGATCCCAGATCTAACTTTAGATTAATTAGACAAACTAATTTCATGGACTTTGAGAAAGCATTAATAAAACGTTGATTAAGATGTTGATGATTTTTATTTATCATAATAAAACAAAGAGAAAGGATACATCCATGCATGGAGCATGGGAATCTAAATTAAGGGTTAAAACCAACACTTAAAAGGTAGTTCTTCCTTAGTAGCTACGAAAATGTAATTCCCACTTTTCTGTCATAATTAACTGAATATCATATTATGGGTAAATGCTAATAATTCCCTAAGATATTTATATTGAATATTCTAAACCATTATAGATTAATTTTATTGCACAAGTTTTATACAAAGTTTAAAGAGAAATTATTAAACCAGTTTTGTCGATATTATTTTTGTGATATTTTATCTGTTGTTTTATTATGTTTTTTGGCTTTTTTTTTTTTTTTGAAATTCAGACATCCAACACACATATTAAAAGTTCTTAATAAAACTAATTTGTTAAGATTTAAACTCGTGACTTTTTGCAAGAGATTATTACTATTGGACTAAAAGCTCTTTCATCCATTTTTTTATTTATTCAATAAATGGAAAAAAACTTTAGAAATACTTATAATCACTTGTCCTACAAGAAGAAACAAAAGAAGCAAAATATATATATGATTAATTATATTGATAATATGATCACTTGTTTCATCCATTAATCAAGAAAATTAACCATTCCGGTGATCACGATCACTAGCTTCAGCATTGATTTCTCCTAGCTAGTTAGTTGGTGGTATGATCTTTTGCCTTGCATTAATTTAAGAACTACAAGGACCAAAAGCATCCATATATATCTACCAAACAATACATTTCATTAACTTGTTAAGCATCCCTAAGCAATACCTTGATCATGGATGCATAGCAGCCTCGAGACCGAGCACTTGGTCCACGACCAATACCGCCGAAGCACAAAGTAGAAACAGGAGATTCACATTCATCCTCCTCATGATCTCGATCACCATGATTCAGCATCGTTTTTCTTGAATCGAAATATTTTTTTGGGCTTGACACTATTTCATTATAAAGTCCTCGAGATTTTGAAACCTTCATTGGGGAAGAAGGCACCGAATATGATGCGGACCACGAAGACGATAACCGCGACGAAAAAGATGAAGAAGAAGATGAAGATGCAGGTGATGCAGGCAGGCTTGTTTTTTTAGTAGAACGTTTAGGGAAAATAGAGTCTAAAATATTAGATTTAGATATCTTTTTTGTTGGTCGTTTTGGAGTATTGTAAAAGTAGGATGGTGGAGGGGTTAAAGGAGGAAGAGGGTTTTCTCGAAGCTTGATCTTGGGAGTTCCTGGTTGAGACTCCCAAGTGAATGGAACTGCAACAGATGCACCAACATGGTAATCTTCTGTGCTCAAGCTAGCCATGGAGACATCTCTTGTTACACGTTTACAGGTGACCTTTTTGTCATCTTGCTTCAATTTTAGGGACTTTTGAGGAAGGTTTGAGCTACTTGTAAGCATTTTAATTATTTGAGACTGAGCTTTGAAGATATGGCAGAGAAATGAAGAGAAGGAGTAGAGGTTAAGGTAAGCAAGGGTTTGTACTTGGAGGGATTCCTATACATTGAAAGAATTGTTAATTTTAAGACTTCAAGTTCCCGTATTGTGAATAAATAGTTAAGTTTGCTTTAATCTATTTATATAGAGAGAGAGAGAGTTGGGTTTCTGGATGCAATTTGGTCCCAATAATTACTCAATTATTTAATAAACAAAATAATTACTCAATTATATAATACAAAAGTACTTTAGTCGTAGGTCTTTAATTTTTTTTTAAAGCAAGTATTTTCTTTTTATATTTTCTTTCTGGATGCAAGTTGGGTTTCTGGATATTTTTGTATTAAATTTTACATAAACCAAGACTGAATTCATCGATTCCTAAATTACGTCACCAAAAGCAAATATCATTTAAAAGTTGTTATAACTTTACTATGGAAAGGAGAGGCTACAATCTACCAAAGGGATGGAGAACATTGTTTTAGATTGGTTAAAATTAAATTTTAATTTTTATTATTTATGAATAATTAGCTATAATTATCTTTTAATAATACTAAATTTCAATTGATTTGACTTAAAGAGCAGTCTAGTAGCCGACTAAAGACTAGAAAATAATATATATATTATTTGGCCAAGATGTGAATAACTTGATTAAGGCTACAAATAAGTACTTTTAGATGGTAAATTTTTTGGCCAAGATGCATCATTTAAAAGAAGTTGTTTTGATACTGAAGAGAGAAGAGGCAAAGAAAAAAAGAAAAAAGAAGAAGTTATTATTATTATTATTATTTTTTTTGAATTTAGATGTGATTAATTTGATTAAAAAAAGACTTGGATTACACACTACTCTTTAAGTGAAAGTGGTTGTTTAGAATTTAGACCAATAAATAAAATTTTTCTACCAAGATTCACATAAATCTGAACATTTATTATTAATTTTTTTTTTTAGCAACGAGGCTTTTGACCTATCTTGTTAAACTCATGTGGACTGATTCCTATATGGATTATTAAATTCCTATCCTAGCATGCTATATGTTTCCTCTTCTTAATTCTTCTTTTTTTATGAGTTCCCTAATTAGGTCAGATTTAAAGTTAATTTATTTAGTGCCGACAGTTAAGACATGATTTTCGGCTTGATTAAATTATTAGATTCCATTATTGTTTTACCATCATAATAAGAAGCAAGATAGTAGCAGCTAGTTAGACACTGGTTGCCAATAAATTTTGGTAACGGTGAAGAACAGGCAAAGCAATAAATTTTTGGTTAGAGAAATGTTGTGCCTAAAAGAAGATTATTGATGTAGGACAGCTGCCTAATATTATGCTTCATAATGACCACATACCTCTAATTTCCAACCATGTTGTTCAATGTTATTCTCTTAGAGAGAAAAGGCATACCTAAGTAATTACAGTGCATGAACTTGATACTCTTCTTGTAACGTGCGTTGCTGCAAATAAGTCTATAATGGAAAAACGGGATCGAATTGTTGTATTTGATCTTGCACACTTAATTTCTACATCTTTTTCATCCAATTTTTAATTTTCAACCATAATATTATTCACTAAGAAAGAAAGGGATCCATATCTAAGTAATTAGGGTTCATAAATTTGATATTCTTCCAGTAATGCTATAATTATTCTTTTGATTTATCATGAGGATAAAACCTTCTTTCATGTTTTGTCACATTCAGCTGAATATAATAGGTGTAGAAGTTGATGTAGTAACAAGAGAAGGCTTAAAATGTACACCAAATGTTTGAAAATGTATTAGGAAACAAAATATTGACAAAGAAATTTAACCAGCTAGCAGTTAAGAGAACAATAAGATCTGCACAAAATTAACTGATTATTAGTTAATTAATCATACTTCAAATTTGACCATGCATATGTTATATAGACTTCTCAACCCCCCAATATTACACATGTCATGCTAGGTCATAGTGGATGCATGGCTGAGGTAGCAAAAGTCCTTCCTCGTTTTGTAGAGAAAAAAAAAGGGTTAATTTTCCAATCAATATCTTTACAATAGAATGATTTTTCAACCGTTATAAGAGTTGATTTTATCTTTAAATATACATTAAGTTTATAATTTATTATTTTGATAATATTTTTTAAGTTAAATTACTAAAATTAATCACTTGATTTGTACTTAATTTTTTTAAAAAATATCCTTGCTAGCTAGTTAGATAAATAAAAAGTTTTCGCATGCAAATCATATAAGTAATTTTAATGATTTAGCTTAAAAATCTTATCAAAATGATTTATTAAAGACTTTACCTATGTTTAAAAATAAAATTAGTTTAACTACCAATATGAAAAAATAAAAAATATATATTTTATTAATTATATAAATATAGATTGATACGTTAACTCTTAAAAAAAGACTCATAGACTTTCATCACGTATACTTAAACAAACTTACACTAACATGTATGAGCAGAATTTCAAGGAGAAAAAATGCCATTGCAGATGCATTATGCCTGCCGGTGACTGGTGAGGCACATGCATCGATCGCCCTTGAAGCACGTGTCTCTTCACCTCCGGCTATTTATGATATTTGACCGGTAATTACTCAATCCTCAAATTCAGCCGCTAGGGGAGGAGACACAAGGTGATCTGCATGAGAAACTTGGTCAAACCTCTGCTAAACAATTTTCTAAATGGAGCTAGCATGAACTTTAATTCAGAAGTAGTTGAAAAATTATTTAAATCTACAACCTATACGAAACCAAGTTTGGCATAAGATTGATTGCATTGAAGTTATAGTAGTGCGCAGTGCATGCAGTTATTAAGTCCTTGTCATGTGTTATCTTGTTTTAAGATAGAGAAAAGACAACAGAAGTTGAATTCTACGAGGAAGGAGAAAACGAGGAATGCATAACATTGTTTTGCTGCTGAGGTAGTTTTCATGCCATGCAACATCAAGATAGGAGTTTAAGGCAGACTAATGAGTTTTGGAATTCATAGAACGGTATGAACGAGGTAAAAATTGAATAAAAACTATCAGCTCAATTCTAAGATTTTTTTAACCTAATTCAATGCTAAACATGCAAACAAGCAAAATGTATTGGTGATTTTGACCAAAAAACATCGTTTAGTCCCTCAAAATCTACTTTTACTTTTTTTGAGATTTTTCCTAATTTTTTAGACTTTTACTATTTGTTTTCCTTTTAAATTGCTTTAAGGTTTTTGTCGAAATTTACTTGTTTATTTATGACTTTGAGATAGAAAAACGCCACTTTTCTTGGCTAATAAAGTTTTATGAAAGAATATCTCAGCTTTATCCCAATTTTCAGCATTGTTTGAATCAACGAAGTTGAAGCTTATTTTCTAGTATTTGTACACCGTTCAACATGTTATAGTAAAACGATATATGAATTTCGGATCAACGGTATTTATCTTTTTCTTGTAAGCTTCCGTCACATCGAGTTGTGAAATACATAGTTTCGGATCGTGAATGTAGTTGTAAAAACAGTTGTGACTTATCACGATGATAAGATAATAGTTATAGTAATTGATGTCGTAAATACATTAGCAACGAGTTAATAAATTTATTATAAAACAATGAGTCAATTTTTTTTAATAATAATTTAATCACAATTGTTTGAGCCGTTTTTCATCAAATAACAACAATAACGACTGTTATGGTTATACAACATTGTTATTACTATTATTTGAATAAATAGTTGTTTGATCGTCGATAATGTCATATGATAAAAACAGTTATATCCAAATTCGTCAAATAACAGTACTCGATAGTTAGAATTCTGGTAAAATATTTAAAATCAAGTAATACTATTTTTCATTTCTAATGTCCTCTTGTAATCATGTATATGGATGGAGTGGATAAGAATTACTAATGAATGCACAATAAAAGCAGTCCTGACGTTTATTTAACATCTGCTAAGCTTGCATAACACAAATTGAACAGATGAACTAACACATCAACAGATCAAACTTTAGGAACAGCATGTCCAAGTTATCGCAGAAGATCAAGTCTTACTTCTGCCTGAATTGTGCTTTATACAAGGTCAATCTACTCATTTATAGAACCAACCATTCTTTTCTCTCGTTTACATAGGATGAAGCTTTTGGTGTTTTATACAGGATTAAATACATTCTATCTTTGCTTCACATAAGATCCAACCTCCTCCTTGCGTCCTGGCCTCCCCTGCTTCATTTTGAATCAAGTCCACATTTACTGCACCCTAAATGGGACCAAGTCCTCCTCCGTTTCTTCTGTTTAGTATACACAGAAAAGTCTCTCGAAGACACAAGCAAAATGTCAAAACAAGTCTGGTAAGAAGAGAATCAAGAGATCAAATAAACAAAAGAAACAATAATCAACTAAATGGCCAAAAGACCCAGTCACTGCCATGCAAGTTTCAATATATTAAGGAAAGGAGATAGCAACTCTGATGTAAACATCACGTAGCGAATCTTACTGAACTTGATTATATGGAGTACTAAAACCCAAAAAGTAGCTAATGTGTTAGCATCTTGACATCCAATTCTCTGCGTGAAATCTACGGATGAGGGGGACCTAGTCGCGAATAGCCGAAACTCAAAACCTCTCTCTTTATTTTCAGCTTATGCCTCTACTATTGCCACACAGAACATCAAAATTTGCAGCAAGCTCTGTAAACCCTGGAAAGGGCATAAAAACAATGTGAAAGCAGAATGCATGGACATGTCATTACAGAACGAGGCACAGAACTTGCGTACAGACGATAAAAGATTAGTCGGTCGTTGGCCTAGTTCCTGAATCCCTTTTAATATTGACAGAGAAAGAGCAAGACTTGATGTTGCAAAGTTCCAAGAAATTACAAAAGCAAGCAATGAATAAGATCATTACTAGAAACCTATTTAAAAAAAAATGGTCACATCTGAAGGGAAGAAACTTTTTCTGATTCCTTCAAGCCACTTGGATATAATCCCCTTAGCAGAATGATAATGAGAAAAGCATG